TTAAAATTTTAGATTATGTTTTTCCTAATTTTCAACCACCTACCTTATTGGGTAACTTTCTGCCGAGGAAGTACACCCTTCATCATCATTTTATGGGAATAGCATGATTACTTCTCCCAATGTACCAACTTTTGAAAGTTGCCCACAACCCATATCTTACCTGTCAACTCTCTCTCACCCCGTCAACCATCCTGCGCGCCCTCCACCAACTCTGTCACATTGTACCTGGATCCCATTGAAATGGTCAATAATGGTTTACCAATCAAGCTGTGATTCAACTGAGTTCACCTTTGAGCCACCTCATAATGTGGAACTTGAAAATTATCTGATGGATTATTTTACTCATAAAAGGCTCCCATATGCTGTTGTCAAGGCCGTTGCCGTAAGGTTGTGGTCTCACATGGGGTTGCTGGAGGTCACAAGCTCTGAAAAATGTTTGTTTAACTTTATACTTCTCCTATCTTTTGGACTGTAACAGTATTCTTGAAGATGGTCATCGATATATTCTTGGCAAGCTTTTATTTCTCAAGAAATTAATGGGAGCACGTCTCTCATTATGACAATTGTCTCACCTCAAATCCTGTTTGAGTGAAGTTCTTTGGAGTTTATCTTTAACTCTGGACCCCCAAAAGTGATGAGACTCAAGTTCAAGTTGAAGATGAGAATGCAGAAGAGGCTAGAAATTACACCTCAGAGCATCCGGGCGCAACTATTTTTAGAGTGAAATTGTGTCATTAGAGACAGAGAGAGAGAGGGGCGGTGTGCAGAATGAAGTGGCGTGACTTTTTTGTGGGCCCTACCAACATTATTTATACCATTGTCTACGGATGGAGCGGCCAATGGAGAATACTCCATAATTGTTTTTCTTTGTTTAAAGAATGATGCTGGACCAAACAAAAAAAGGCAGCTTCTCCATAATTTGATGCTGGACCAAAAAAAAAACAAAGGGCAGCTTCTCATTAATTTTTTTTCTTTGTTTAAAGAATCTGAAAAAAAAAAAAAAAAAAAAAAACAGCTTCAATGAATAATTTTTTTTCTTTAATGTAATTTTCTTTTTTTTTTTCTTTCTTTTTCTTTTTCTTTTTTTTTAATTGGATTTTTTAAAAATTTCTTAACAAATCTAATCGAAATAAATAATTTTTATAATATTTTTTATTCATCAGCAATATGAAAATTACATTTTATTCTACTACAACAAATTTAAAGCATCTTCATCACCAAATTTCATCCACAAATGTTCCATGAGATCTCTCCTAAGATCGGCATTATCTGATCTATTGCGAATCCTACTTAGGCTAGAGGAAATGTGTGCCGCCAACATTGATAGGTTTCGAACGTAATGTGAAAGGGATATTGGGTCATTTGTCAGAGGTGTCCATTGCAAAATGTGTTCGCCCTCGTCTTCAATGATCATATTGTGCAATATTGTGTAAAGAAGTGGACTTTATAATTGAAAGAAGATAGAATGAGTGGTTTATATAGAAATTAAAATATAGCCGTTGGAATATAGCCATTGGGAAGAAAACAAAAAATTATTAAATTCAAATTCAAATTCAAATTTCTTATTTAATTTTTAAATTAAATTAAAAAAATAATAAATAGATAATGAGACAATTGGGTTCCACACCGTGGAACACATGGATAACAAAAAATAGAGTACCACGTCATTACGTTTTTACTTACGTGGCACTCTACTTTTTAAAAAATAGATAGATAAGATTTTGTGTCCACACCACTTACTCTTAAGTGCCTCTGACAGTGTCTCTATTACTTAGAGCCTTCCTGTTAACCTTTCACAGGGTACGTCAATCTATTTGAGTAAATAGAAGAAAAATAATAAAACAAAGGACTTAGGGTCCCTAGGGGCAAGACGGAGCCAGGATGTAAGGTAAGTGGGGTTAAAAATGAATTTTGGAAGGTAATAGTACATTTTTTTTTAATAATTTTAATTGGGGCAAATGTAATATTTTATCAAAAAAAAAAAAAAATGTAATGTTTTTATGCGTATATTACTAAAAATGAATAAATTATAAGAATAAAATACTAAAAAAAAAAATTCAGTGGGGGCAATTGCCCCCACACCCTTGAACGATCCGTCTATTGTATGGAGGAACATTTGGGGTCTCTATGCCAATCCAAAATATTGTGAAATAAATGAACTTATTAGAAAGCATGGTATTGACATTATGTCAATCATTGAAACTATAGTTAATATTTCTATGGACACCATCCAAAAGCAAATTAATAGCAAAAACATGAAATCTAATTCAAAATTACCAATTCTTTCTATTGGGTAAACTATGGATTATTTGGAATTATGATGTTGATGATCTGCATCTTAGTCACGACAACATGTAAGCTATTCACTAACTTGTCATAATAATTAAGTGTAAAACTCTGTTGCAGATGGACAAGCTTTGTGGTTAGATATATTTCAACGCCCTCAGCTTTTCAACACCAGTCCATGGATTCTTGTTGAAGACTTTAATGCAATCAGAGCCCCTTTTGAATCTTTCGATGGATCAGATAGGATCACTAATTCAGTTCCCGGCCGGTTTCAGATCATGCTTGGTACAATCAGGGTTTCTTAATTAATGTAGTTTACCTTTGATTTTTTTTTTTTTTTTTTTTGCTTGATCTCCCTAGTCTCTCTCTACCCAACTTCAAACTAATTCTATTAATTAATCACGTGTAAGATTTTTGGAAGCAAAAATATGAAAACATGTGTAGTAAAATAATGTTGTTAGTTTGAAAAATGAAATAGATAGTTACAAAAGTCATTTAAGAGGTTTTTTTATTTTTATTTTTATTTTTATTCATGGCTATAGTATTTTTATTATTGTGCGGAAGCAACAAAAAAATACCAATTTGGTATTTTGGTTTTGGTCTATTTTTAAAAAAATATATTGGTACTATTTAAATCGTAACAAACATTACTAAACACGTTTTCGTGTTTTGTTTTGCTCCCAAAAAAAAAAATAATAATAAATAAATAAATGAAAGAAGGTAAAAGCGGTTACCAAACAAAAAGTTCTTGGTTAAATGTTTTCCTTCATTATTCTATAGACCCTTTTACCGCGACAATCTTCCTGATAATTCCTTTAAATCCCTTGAATTATAAAATTTATGGAATTATAAAATTTGTCTTCACTTAAGAAAATAAAAGTTTAATGGGCAATCAAAATATATATTTCAAATCATACCATATCGTCTTTTAACCTACCAGACAAATTTTCATTACCCTCTCCAATGTGCCTCTCCCAACTCTCTCTTACAACTCTTCACCTGAGTCATGGCCACTCAATTAAACATAGCCTGCACCACTTTTAGTAGAAAATGAATAAAAAAGAGGGGCGATATATATATATATGTGTGTGTGTGTGTGTGTGTGTGACTTAATTGATTTCTTCATGACTTAAAAATTCCATCTTCTTTTAATTTTGGGAATAACTAGAAAAATATTGAGCTATACCAGTGAAATTTGAAACATTTTCAATCTTTAATTTTTTTCAAATTTGACGTACAAGATTGGCCTAATAACTCATGCACTTTTCGGATGGTGCGCAAATTTCGGTGCTAGTCATTTGCAAATCATGTACATCATTGAAGTTCATGTCCCACTCTCTCAAACCAGCAACAAAGAAGTGTACTTCCAATAACCTTACCAATTGAATTAACCCGCAAGAATATACATGTTAATTTTTTTATAAGTAATGTGCATAGGAGTCTCGTTTGGGATTGTTTTTCACTAGTTTAAAAGCGATTTTATTTTTTAAAAATTGCATTTAGTTGTACATTTGGTAACTATTAAAAGCAATTTTAGTAGTAATAAATTTTAAGGGAGTAGAGTTTTTAAATGAAGCTAAAATTTAGAACTTTTAAAATTGCATTTTTGAGTATGTGTGGTATATTTTAAATAAATGTTTTTCCTTAGACGATTTTTTCTTCTTTTTTTATTTATTTTTTACAAAGACAATGTCACTTCTTTTTTTTCTTTTTCTTTTTTTTTTTTTTTTAATAAAGTTACTATCATCAAATATAGTAATATTGTATTAGAAGATATTATGGTTAAATTATCATTACAAGTGTTTAAAAAAATATAATTATAAAGAAATTAAAAATATTACTCTCTTTGTTCCAAAATATTACTCTCTTTGTTCCAAAATAATTGTATCTTTTAAAAAATTGTGAATCACATTCACCACAACTCTTTTTTTTTTTTTTTTTTCATAAATATTCCCTTTTAAAAGAGACATTTAGTTTGTGACAAATGGAGTATTTATGAAGAAAAAAAAAAAAAAAGAGTTGACATTTTTTCAAAAGAATTTTTTAATATTTATGAAAAAAAAAATTTTAAAGAGATATTTATTTGAGACAGAAAGACTATTTATGAAAAGGAAAAAAAGTTGCGTTGGATGACATTATACATGGGTATTATGTCAAACCATTACATATCCATGGTTGACGAGGGCAAGTCTGCTCAAAAACAATTTGCCCTTTGGAAATTTGTAATATAGGGTGATGACTTATTAGATGGTGGTGTAACTTGTATTATCAGGTTAACTGAGCATTAGGGGGGCCATTTTCTCAATAAATGTGTGTGTGATTTTGTCAACAAGCTAGTAATGAAAGAGAGGGAAATGGAGATTTTGTTGACAAGTCGGACATAAATATTATAGACGATTGCAATCTGTTGAATATTTATTAACACGTCAAAGAAGAAGTTCAATCTAATTTATTTCATAGTCATAATTTTAATTTTTACCTAACAATATTGGTATGCTTTAAATTTAAAAATAGCAACATCTTTTTCTGGATAAAAATTCCTTTGTTTTTTTTATCTGCTTTTGTATTGTGAGTATCAGATACCATTGAGACTCATTTATTTTTTAATTATATATAATTTTTTCTTGGTTGAATTTAGTTTTTTAATCACTTCGGATCCTAATTTAAAAAATTTAAATTATATGAATTTTTTTTAAAGACTATTCCAACTTACCTTTGGTAGACACCCAACATTCAAATTTTCCACAACATGCCGTGTATACAATTCCACCGTGATACTGGAGCAGCCTCAAACTTCAGGGTAATTGCGTGATCATCCTACTCTCTCTCTCTCTAAAACTCTCTGTTTCTCTAAAACTCTCTCTCTACAAAATAGTTCTTACATCAATTTTATCTCTCCCTGCTGTATAGCGAGAGAGATTATCAAAGTATCAAAAATGGATTACAACAAGAACAACTTTACCAACATCGCCGTTCTCTCCATCCTCTTCGCCGCCGTTGTTTATCTCTGTTTCTGGTCTTCCACCTCCTCCAACTACTCTTTCTTCTTCACTCGAAACCAGCCATGCCCCTCACAATCAGATACTGTAAGTATATACTTCCATACATATTATATATATATAATATGAACCATGCTTTTTTTTTTTTTTTAATCAAAAGTGGATCTCATTTACTGTATGAAAGAGAAAAAAACCCTTTGGTTGGAAAAATTGGTTTAACAATCATTTTTCGTAATATATATATAGGTAATTAAGATTGAATGTATTTATTATTAGTTTTTTGTGGTTATAGTTACAGGGTGTGACAAAAGATGAGCTTGACGTGGTATTGGAGGAAGCATCGATGTCCAACAAGACTGTTGTGATTGCTGTAGTGAACAGAGCGTACGCGGAAGAACAAAACGGCGGCGTTTACATGACGATGTTGGATCTTTTTCTGGAGAGTTTTTGGGTAGGAGAAGAGACGAGGGGATTGCTTGATCATCTGTTGGTGGTGGCCGTGGATCAGACGGCGTACGATCGGTGCATATTCCGTGGGTTGCACTGTTATAGGCTGGTGACGGACGGTGTGGATTTCACGGGAGAGAAGCTTTACATGTCAGATGAGTTCATCAAGATGATGTGGAGAAGAACTCGGTTTCTATTGGATGTGCTCAATCGCGGCTACAACTTCATCTTCACGGTACATATGTATAATTAACAAATACTGGATAGATTACATTTTTAATAGAATGATCATGATATTCAAGCAGGATGGATTTAGCAATTTATACGAGGGAGATAAATTTATATAAATAGATTTTTTTTTATAATTTTAGTAAAGACGTTTCAAAATTTTATAAGTATAAATGTAAAAAAAATATAAATTTAAGAATATAAAATACAATAATAAAAAATTCCACCCAAGTTTCACTTTTCTCTTAAATTAAGTATCCTCTATGGAATAATTATTATTTTAACAGATTTCTTGCTTAGTTTATGGAGTTTTTGATTCCAATGATGAGTGAGACCAACACGGATACCATCTACTTCATCAAATGGCCTTTTGACTATATATTCTCAATTTAAATTCACAAATGAAGTTATTGTTAGCAAATGATGCGACAATGAGATAAACACTCAGAGATAGATTCTATTTTTTTAAATATTGAGGACTCTATCTATTAGAGGCACTAACATTATCTAAAAAATAAATTTAAAATAATATTATTCATAAAACATAATATCATATCTTTAATTTAAATTTAATTTTTTTTTAATTTAAATTATCATTCGATGCTTCCGAACATACTATCTTGAGAATTGACACCGTATTAAGTAAAGTCTTTGGGCAATAATGTCCAGACCATTAGAGAAAAGTGTCGGTTATAATTAAAAATATTTTAATTTTGTTGCTTCTTCTTTTTTGTTTTTATTATAAGAAATTACAGTCTTAATGTAGCCGATTTCATTATTCACACTTGGGAACTACGAAGACGTAGACATTGATTGAGAAAGAGCTTGTATAGTTGTAAACCACTAGGAGAGGCAAGTCACGTGTGTGTGTGTGTGTGTTTCCTAATTTTTTTTTGGTTTTATTCAGATGTGTTGGAAGTGGGATTATGAACTTCCTAAAGGGACGTGTGTGGTGGGAAATGCTTCATGGAAAGTAGTTCATGTCACCATGTTAGCGCACCAACTCTACGAGTCCATGAAGTCAATGCCCGATCACCTGTGACACCGTCCCTCTGCAACGTTTGGTGATCCAACTTACTGTGTGCGAATGCCAGCTTGCCCCAGCGGTGGGTTACTACCCGTGGTTATGGCAGCACGAGGCTTCGAGCCTCCTGAGCTTCGCATCCTAATCCAACCACTAATCACTGACTTCCTTGCCCTTTTTTTTTTTTTTTTTTTTTTTTGAAAAAAAAGAAAAGAAAAAAAAAGACCCAACTTATTGTGCGATCACAGATAGCATGCGATGAGATATTTGTATATCAAATCTTAGATTGTCTCCCAAAAAGACACGTGCACGATTCTAAATGCTTTGTAGATTTTTTGGTCTTGATAACAAACTAGGAGTAAATATATGTTAAATTGGCACTCTTCCGAAAAGGTCACGTGTGTGATAGCAGGTGCCGTTCAATTTATTTTCTTGTGATCATGTTTGGTTGTTGGGATTTGTGGACCAATTATTAATCTAATAAGTCAACACATGATTTTGTATGGTTCCTTTGGAACGTCGGTGAACCCAAACTTGTCATGTGGTTCTGTTTAATTCTTTCAAAACCAATGCCATTCACACATAACACACATTCTTTATTCTTCGTACATTTTCGTATATTTCAGTTTTTAATACACTTCTACACATAGGTGTCAATAACTTTTGAAATAAAACAGATTCATGATAAATCCAAATCTTTATCAATAGATTATTTTCCTTGGATCCTATAATTACTTTTGTCTATATTTATGTTGACAGGACACTGATGTAATGTGGCTAAGGAATCCATTTGAAAGGCTAAGCAAGAACGAAACAGAGGACATACAGATGAGCACGGACGACTTCAACGGCGATGCATGGTCGGAAGCCAACTTCATCAACACTGGTTTTTACTACGTGAGATCAAACAATAGGACCATCTCGTTGTTTCAGAAATGGTATGACATGAAGGACAACTCTACAGGGATGAAAGAGCAAGATGTTTTGGCCAGATTGATACACGATGGTGTGCTAAGACAATTAGGCCTCAAAGTGAGGTTCTTGGACACCCTCTATTTTAGTGGTTTTTGCAAAGATAGTAGAGATATAACCGCGGTGACAACCGTCCACGCGAATTGCTGCCGGAGTATTAGCGCGAAGGTGACGGATTTGGCGGCCGTTCTTCGCGATTGGAAGAAGTTCAGAAGGTTAGTGGCTAGGTACCCTAGGGCTGCTGCTAATGCAACACTGAACTTCCAGTGGTCCAAGCACATTGGTTGTTTCAAATCATGGAGAGTTCCTACTAATAGTCCTACTTTAGGGTAGGGATGGTTGATCAATGCTTGATTGTCCAAGCACATTGGTTGTAGCAATTCATGGAGAGCTTTTAATAATAGTTTAGGGTAGGGATGGTTGATCAATCTTTGATTGTCAATATTTTTTTTTTTTTTTTTTTTTTTTTTTTTTTTTTTATGGTAAAAATATCAAGGGTTATTGATTAGTTGTCAGAGACACGATAAACAATCCAACAACTTCAACAACACGACACTTACCATACTTTTGATAATCAATTCAGATTTCATAGAATAAACGTTTGAACAATTTAGAATATAATACTTAATTAGTGTATTCAATTTCCCGCAAAGTAAACATTTTGTAGTGTTTTGCATATCATCCCTAGAGCTAGTAGTTTTTTTTTTTTTCTTCTTTCCTAAATGACAGAAATTTTATAAAATTATCAAGTATAACTACAATTACACATGAGAAGAACCCTCGCAATATCCCACAAATAAAGGGATACACCAAAACAAATCCTAAAAATCAAAAGAATTCAAGATTCTATGATATCATGGAGGCATACCCCCAAGACATCCATAATATCCCAAATAATATGTTTAACTAAAACTATATGATTTATAGAACCCTCGTCATGTAACCTATGAATCATTTCATTCCAAATGAAATAAAGAGTGGCAGAAAACACCATTCGAAGCAACTTGTTCCTGAAAGAATTTATCTTCACTTGCTGTACTAAAACTATCTTGAATCCCTCAAGTGATAACCAACCTGTAATATCCCAATTCAGAATCTCCCCCAAACCATATCAAACCAGCTTTGTAATTTCACATAGACAGAACATATGCTCAGTGCTCTCCATATTAACCAAACATAAGGCACATCTAGAAGCTAACCGAACTCCCATTCTTTGAAGATTTGTATGTGTTAAAATCCATTCCTGAAGTGTTAACACTGCGTGCGCTGACCAACGAGGTCTTCCCTCATTCCAACACAAAATAAACCAATTAACTTCTGGATTAGGAACCCTACAAACCTCCCACGTAGCCTTGAAAGTAAACTTAGCCCTCTACCACAACACTTTGTTTGAACCTCCAAAAATACTATACTGATTGCAAAACTGAAGCATCTCCTGAATATTAGCAGTAAATTTATCCACATCCCAAACATTATTAGAAATTAAATAACATAGGGCTGTGTCCTTCACAGGATACAAGACTCTCAATATCCCATAACTAACTCTCTGGGACAAAAAGCCTTCACACCAAAGATCTAAGAACAGCTTTATGGAAAAGCCATCTCCAATTTTATAACTGCATCCTAACAACATCACCTCATTTATTGCAATAATGTTATTCCAGGTAGATGAATAAATATCACGAACCATAGCCTGCCAATAAACTATATTTATACCATAACAATTTCTAAACCAAGCCACCCATAACCTGTCTTCTGAAATCAGGAAATCCCAGGCAAGAGAACACTTTGCAGCTTTGTCCATATCCATTAATCTTCGAGTACCAAATCCACCTTCAACTTTAGGAGCAGTAATTTTCTTTCACCCTAAACCATGTAGCTTTCTCACATTATCCTCATGCCCCCAAATGAAGTTTCTTATCCTTCTTTCTATGGTATTGATCACTTTGGCAGGCAGAGAAAAAACAAAATTCCAATAGTGTACCAGAGGAGTGATCACTGCCCTCACCAACTCCACTTTCCCAGCCAATGAAAGATTTAGCCCTGCCCAAGTAGTGGTAGATGCAATCACTTTCTCAATGAGAGGTTTGCAATCTTTAATCTTAATAACCTTGTCAGAAATAGAAAGTCCTTCCCAGAATAGAAAGTATAGTTTTGCTTCTCTTTACTGCCCTAGTTAAATAAACTTTAGACTTATCTTTATTAACCCCTAGACCAGATGTACATTTAAATTGTTTCATAAGCCTCTTCAAAGTTACAACACTGCCCAAGTTAACTCTAACTACAATCAACAAATCATTGGCAAAATTATATTTTTTACTTTTTTGTAAAAAACTTCGATTTGTCGTTTAGATTTCAAAGATATGTTTTAAATGTTTTGATAAGTGTGTTAGTCACCGTTTAATACGCTTTTTTTATTCTAACCATTTTGTTTTGCTACTGCAATTCTAATTCTATATTTTTTTCTGGCACAATTTTTAACTAAATTAAACGTCTTTAGCACTCCAAATCTTCAATTAAGTAATAGAATATATATACACACTTTGTGAAACATAAATTCTTATAGATCTTTCTAAATATTTTATTTTATTTTTTTAAATTCATATATATATATATATATATATATATATATATTGTAATGGAAGATATTTATACATATTTATTTTGTTTTGTTTTTAAAAGTTTATAAACTTTTTAGTGATAAAATGAGTCAAGAACATTGTGCATGCATAAATGCATTGTATGATAATCTAATCTAATTTAATTTGAAATTTTAATTTTAATAAATGAGAGTTATGCATCTACTACTCTCTCTCTCTCTCTCTCTCTCTCTCTCTCTACTGAGTAGTTAATTATTTGAATTATAATTTTTTTATTAATTTGTGATGAATTTATGATGTCATAGTTATTGATTAATTATATTTAATTAGTTTATTATTTCCATAGTTATTGTGATAATGTCAATTTGCATAAAATGAAATTTGAAGAATACTTAGGTCTTCACTAGTGAGGATTTACATCATAGTCACTATTAATGTGGACCAATAATAAATGAACCATACTCACTGTTGATATGAACCAATAATAAATGGATACGTTTTATTTTAATTACCGAATTATAGATGGTAATCAAATCACCATATCTGATTTGATAAAATGGGTATCTATCCCACCATATTTGATTTGGTAATTAGATATGACATGTTCATTTATTATTGGTTCATATCAGCAGTGAGTATGGTGTAAATACTCATTAGTGAAGACCTATGTATTGTTCAATTTGTGAAAAGACATTATTATACTCCATCCACTCATCGAAAGAATCAATTATAAGAGGAATAAGACATTATTGTGCTCCATCCAATTAATAAGAATCAATTAAAAGAGGAAATTACATAATTTATGATATGTTTGGTTGATTGGAAGAAATGATTGAACAGGGATGAATGAGAGGGGAATAAAAAAAGTTTTTCATGTTTGGTTACACGAAAAGGAAAATATGGAGGACGAAACAAAAAAAAAAAAAAAAAAACCTCTATTTTCCTTCATTAAAAATAAAATAGAAATTGCATCCCATGTATCATTTTAACTATCTAACCAAACAAAAAATAAGAAACACATATTTTCTTCCCGATGATGCCATATCCATTCCTTTCCCTGCTCCCTTCAATATAATTTTGAATAAATTACACCTAGATCCCCTGTGGTCAGGTCATATTACACCTATATGAACATTTTGGTTTTAAATTTCACTTATATATGAATTAGTGATTTAGCATTTCACTTGCACCCCAAATATCAATTTAAGACTATACTACCCTTTGACCTCATATTAATTATTTTTGTGACCAAACTACCTATCCCCCCCCCCCTCTCTCTCTACCATCTTTTTCCCCTTTCTCTTTCCCTCTCGTCGGAATCAACTGTAGTCGGCGAAACCAAACTCAATTCGGATTAAAGGCTTAGCGAAACCCAGTTCTTCTTCGGCGACAAACGACAGAACTGAACTGACCCAGTTCCGGCGAGCTCCTAGTGTCGGCGAAACAAAACTCAATTCCGACGAGCTCCAAGTAGCAAAACCCAGTTCATATCGGCGTGTTCCCAAGCGACGACAAAGTAACGACGGGCGTCTAGTCAGAGCAATCAGCGATGATGGCGTCGGATGTGGCTATGGGTTGTGGAGCTGTGATGTTGCGGGGCGGCGGGGGGTGGTATATGGTGTGGGTGATATATATATGTGTGTGTGATTTGGTGGAAAGTGGGAAAGAAATCCTAAATCGAAGAAAGAAGACAAGGATTCAATGCCGCCGGAGGCTTCGACATCATTGCCGTCTTCTCCACTATCGTCGCTGTTTGATTTGACAAATCGTCGTCATTGGCGAATCGATCCTATCGTCTCTCCCGCCGCCATCGCGACCACCTCCACCACGACCTCTTTCATCGCTGTCGCGACTGTAGCTACCTCTCTCCACACAAACCCTCACACACAGATACACGACTGTAGCTACCTCATTAATTTTCTCCCTTCTTACAAACCCTTCCGCCGGAGCACGAGATGAGGATTTTTGCCGCCGATTACGACGCCATCGAGGTTGTAAGCCTGTAATCCGATGTCTCGTCGCCGAGATATATTGATTGGGCCACCGTAGAGGTTGTAATCCGACACCCGTTATTGACATCGACTTGCTCTTCAGCGTTGTCTTCAACAATCGACTTCGCTTTTGATTCTTTGTCATCAACGTCAATTTCGGCAGTGGGTGGAATGGGATTTTGTGTATTTTTGGGTTTGGTTTTAGGTGGGTGGTGGTGATGAGGTGTTGGGTGGGGGTGCAGTTTGGTTTTGGGTGGGTTGGTGGTGCAGGGAGGTGTAAGTCTGGGACGTTGGTGGTGATGGAGGTGTTAATGGTGGGAGCTGCCGGTGTTAAATATATATATATATACACCCACACACATATATATAGGTGTTGAATATATATATGGACTTTTTTGTCATTTAAGATTGTATAGATATATATATATATTGTATTAAAAAATTGAAGGTAAAATGGTCTACTCACATGTATCAGAAGTCAATAAGTTAATTAAGAATAGTTAAAACCAAAATTTTCGTCTAGTTAAAATATAACCTAACCTCATGAGGTCTAGGTCTAGGTGGTCTGGGTGTAATTTACTCTATAATTTTCCATCCCTCCAACCGGATGACGCACTAAAAAATAAAAGAAATATATATATTTTTAAGTTGGGGCAAGTTTTTCAGACGACACAGTCTCAGCAGGACGGAGCCTCCGCCATCGCCTCAGGCTAAGGTGACACCGTGACAAGGTATGTTCGTCCTCTCTCTCTCTCTCTTCTCTCTTCTCTCTCCTTTTGCATGAATCGATCTTTTTTTTTTTCTCCTCTCCCTGAGTCCGCTCCAGTCTCACAACAGCAGCAACCATACCCCTTTTCCTCATAATTTTTTGCATTTTCACATTCAATCCTACGAAAATTAAGGATCCCTCTGGTTGAGGACCTGAGGTAATAATTAACTTTTTCGATCTCTAAATTATGCTCATACTTAAAAGTGCCAAATTAAGGGTTTTTTTATTTTTATTTTTATTTTTTATTTTATTTTATTTTTTTATTTTATATGAAGATACATACCACCATTATTGATGTTATTTGAAGTTGGCTCAGCTAGAATTTCAGTTAATAATACTGTCAAAGGCTCAAAGCACTTGCCATCAGAATGTACAAACACATGGAAATCAAGAGCAGGGTTTAACAAAGCAAAAGTGAATGGTTTTTTCTATTAATTTGCACAGGTTTTCTGTAGCAATGCTCAATCAATCACTGATATTAAAGTTGATTCCTCATCCTGAAATCAAGAAAGCGGTAATTGGCTCCCAAAAAACGCACACACAAAGGTCCAGTGAAAACTCCAGCCAGGAGATCATTCGACCAAACTGCTTGATTTTAGATTTTTTTTTTATATATTTATTGTATGATCGGCAATGCTTAGTTATTATTGTTTCCGTTTGATTCTCCATCCGTTTTATGTTAATTGTGATATTCTTTCACATGCTAGCAGGACACTCTTCTTAGGATCTCGTGAGGTTATTTGCCTTGAACATTTACTTTGATATAAAGTTGAATTTTGATTGTTGTGACTAAGTTGTGTTGAATATTTCATTTTAATTTTATGACGTAAACTGGATCGTGCTCTTTTTAAAGCACCAGGTTTTGTTTTGTGTGTTTTCAACATTAATGCATTTTATGTTCTTATCATCTCATATTAATGAAAATTCTGCATTCTTATAAATTTTTTGTGCTTGTGAAAATGTCGCACTCGTTAATTGATAGATTTATTGCGCACAATTATTTATTGGTGGTGATAGATTTATAGTTATTAGTTAGTTGTCTTATGCAAACTGCACAGGTGCACAATTATTTATTGGTGGTGATAAAAATTTATAGTTATTAGATAGTTGTCTTAAGCACAGTGGCACAGCCGCACAATTATTTATTAGTGGTACTATATAATTTTTTCATATATATGGAAAAAATTAAAAAAATTACCATATATATTATAGAGTGCGGGCCAGCTTAGGGGCGGCACGTGCCCCCCCTAGGCCTTCATTGGCTCCGTCCCTGTGCATAGATGCACAATTATTTATTGGTGGTGATAGATTTATACTTATTAATCAGTTGTCTTATGCATACTGTACAGGCGCACAAATATTTGTTGGTGGTGATAAATTTATAGTTATTAGTTAGTTGTCTTATGCACAATGCACAGGCGCACAATTATATTAGCTATAGAATTTGAAAATATCGTGTGAAAATTTCGCACTCTTATAATTTTTTTTGCGCGTGTGAAACTTAAGGGCGTCACATTTGAAAGTTCGCCTACGGCCTCTAAAAATATTTGAAATCTCAGGGCCGGCCCTAGGCTTATGATTAATCGTGCCCAAATAAAGTAACAAAATACTATGATTTTTGTTCTTCATCACATTTTTCTATTAGGTTAGATCACGGCTGTCATTAGGGTCACCGTGCATTTCTTTGATCATGTGAAGCGGTTCACTGCAGCAAGCCAGCACCCCATCTTTGAAACTGTGTTTTTTCTTCAGTGTGGTGTTAATCATCACTTTTGTGATAGTGGCTTTGTGAATTAATTTCATTAATCGGTCTTTGATGAGGAACGATAGTACGCATGATAGACACTCTATATGCGAAGTGGTAGCTTTTGTTTTGTGTTTGGAAGTTATGGATTGGCTTTATTGCTTCAGAAATACAACAAATTTATATAATGCTTATAATATTTTCATTGCTTTTTTCTTTTTTCTTCTTTTTCTGTAATTATTTCTTCTCGTTTTTCAATAAGTAATGCATGTGTCTATTTCATGATGGGTATTTTGAATCCTACACCTCCCCTTTGAAGATGGCAGGAAACACCTTGCAAGCTTCGAGCTGATCATATTCTTTTAAACAAGATTTGAACTGCAATAGACTTGTATGAGTAATTATCATCCCCACGGACTTTGTACATCATGAGTAGTAGTGTTACCGTTAGATAAGTGTATTCCAGTGTAGGAAACATTTTCTTTGCTGTGTTGATTTGGGAATTTTTTTCCTATTCATGTCATAGTGGAAAACATATGTACTATAGATTAAATGCTATAGTTTTTAAGAGGAGGATTTTTTGTGTTTGCTTCTGTTTTACCTTTTATTTACAAAGGATGAGATCACTAGTTTGATGCAATGATTTTCTTATTAAAATGTATTGTACGTATCATTTTTGCAAATGGTGAAGTAGACAATTTGACATGACATAGAGATGATCTCGCTCTTGTCACTTGGTTTTAGTAGTGAGCGAAAGTAAAAGGGTAGTCTTCTTTGACAGGGTTTAGTATGGCAACCCTTAGAAATCTGAAAATCAAGACGGCCACTTGTAAACGTATAGTTAAGGAGCTGCATTCTTATGAGAAAGAGGTTGAAAGAGAAACTGCCAAGACTGCTGACATGAAGGAGAAAGGAGCTGATCCTTATGACCTTAAACAACAGGTATCTTGGCTACTCTTAAATCTATTTTGGGAATCTGTTATCATTTTGCAAATCATATTGGTATCTTTTTTGATTGGTGCTGACGCAACAGTGATCCAAATGGAAGTTCTTCTAAATATATCATGCACTTTTGTCTATTTGTTTTTCTTTTTCATCCTTGGTTTTGGTCCCCTGGCTTAGTTATACTTATCGAGTCACTTGAAGTGTGCAGTTCACACTGCACAAAGTTGAACTCTTCCTCAACCTGAAAAAAAATCATTACAAATATATGAAATATCACCAAGAATCATGTTAGTTAAGATGGGCTTTATTTTTTTACCCTTAAAAAAAAAGAAGAAAAGATTTAGACCCGTAGATTGTTTACTTGAAGGCATGAAAATTAGATATCATCAAATTACAAGCGTTGCAGGTTGTAATTGATTGGTAGGACTTAAATTGGCAAATTTCTTTTAAAACGAGAGTTTGCAATATTTATTTTCAGGTGGTTTATGTTTTCAAAAGTTAGTTAGGTTGTTGAAATCACCTCAATCTAAGGACATTGTGGAGATTTCAAAGGATCAACAATGGTAAAAAGGTGAATTCAACATTCAAATGCGCACTAACCAAATTAGGGTTCATAATCTTGATTTCTCATCATTATTCATGTTTAGGACTCATTGCAAACATGTTTTAATCTTCAAAAAGTTGTTTTCGATGCATAAAAATGTTTTTGAATTACTTATCAAAAAAAAAAAATGTTTTTGAATTGAAAAACCTAAAAGTCAAATTGCAGGGAGTTCAATGTTGTAGCAGTCAATTCCTTACTGGATTAGGTTTGATGGATGGAACATGAGTTAGAACTTAGGATTAATCAAACCTTGCGGATGGCAGTTTTAAAATATGTTTCAAAGTCTTAAAATCATAAACCTTTCAGCCTCAAAATTCTATATAAACACACTTACAATTTGTTAATTTTTTCCCCACTTATGATTTAATATACTACACTAAGAAAGGCATATAGAGTGCATTCTAGCAATCGATTGCTATATTTTCATTTATTTTTCATCGCTACATCTAGATGGTGAGTATTTGTTTTTGTGTGCTGAACATCGTCATTGTTTCAAGGATGTTCAACACAAAAAATCTATACTATATCGAACAAGGACGACTAGTAAAGGAGATCAGTCATAAGTGGAAGACTGAATTGCTTGAAAGCGGGTTTGTAGATCAATAGCAGCAGTGCCCGATGAGGAATAATTAGCGTTAGTCTGGATATGAGGTAACTAGGTGTTTCTAGGGTTTAGAAACTGAGACCTAGGTTGTAATACCTTTTTTCGTATAATGTACCAGGTACAGTGGTTTTTCCCCTATAGGTTTCCAATGTAAAAATGATGTTCTGTGGCTTGTTTTTATTTTTCTGCACTCTATTGATTTTTACTACATATTTGCTTGTTAGTTGGGATGATGTTAAAATTAGTTAATATTTAAATTTCCGTTTAAGAAGTTAAATGAATTTTAATGACCTGTTCACTACTGCGGTTTGCCACTCTAGGTGTTGTCTGGGTCTAGCATGCTTTGACATATCAGAGCTTAGTTGTGGTCCTATCATTAAGTAACAATGGACAATAATGCAGAATTTAAAACGTAGTTTAGTGTTCATTGGGCGACAGAACACGAAGAAGAAAAAAATTGTTTTAATTTTAAGTATAAACACATCATAATGATTTAAATTTGACAATATGTATGCATTTAGGAAACAGATTATTATTTGTGTATTTTTTACCTTTTTTGGCCAAGAATAGATATACTTGTTGTTTTTGTTTTTGTTTTTGGGCCAAGAACCACTTGACCAACTGACTCAAGTGCTTCTGTTGGCAATGAATGGAGATGCGGCTAACCAAGCTATTGTAGTGTAGTGGAAAAGTACTGGTATGACACTGAAAAAGGAAGGGTGAGGTTAACGGTTTAATTCTTATCATTGAATGGAAAAAAAAGAAGAAAAAAAATGAAAATGTTGTTGGTTCTCTTTATGTGAGTGACTTCATCAGTCTTCCAGCCTGTTCCCAGCTTGAGGTCTCTTTTGACTGAGTGAAGATGTTCCTGGATTGCATTTCCGAACGAAACTTTTTTCAATGGGCAGACTACTGTTGCTTATAAGTTAATAGGATGACTCTGAGCAGCGACTGCATCAGTCTTCAAACCTGTTCCAAGCTTGACGTCTCCTTTCACTGAGTGAAGTAGACATAGTCTGCATCAGTAGTCTCCTTTCACTGGGAGACTACTGTTGCTTCTAAGTTAATATGACGACTCTGAGGAGTGATTGCATCAGTAAACCTTGTTCCAATCTTGAGGTCTCTTTTCAATGAGTGAAGTTGTTCCTGGTTTGCATATTTTCTGAACAAAACTTGTTTCAATGGGCAGACTACTGTTGCTTATAAGTTAATATGATGACTCTGAGCAGTTCCCTAAGTGAATGATTAAAATTGATTCTGTTGAAACAGACATCTCAGACAACTGGGTGAAAAGAAATGCATCAAATTTTTTATTTTTATTTTTATTATTTATTTATTTATTGAGATTTAAACATCAATATCTTAGTTCTTTCTATATTTTGGAAATACCTTTTTTTATTGGCGTATTTCCTTTCTCTTGGCCCAATGAACAGGAGAACGTGCTGGCTGAATCAAGAATGATGATTCCTGATTGTCGCAAGCGTCTTGAGGCCTCTCTAGCTGACCTAAAAGGAACTTTGGTATTTTTTCTCATTTATATTGATTCCATAGGTGCTTTCATTTATATTGGTTTATTCTCTCTTAAATTATTTGTTACACAAACACAAAAACGGATTGCCTTTATTGGAACATTTGACCAGGTTAGGGTAAAATATTCTAATTTTGATATGACTCTCAACTGGAGGTCCTTATTGAATTGAGGTTGGTTTGGCACCATCTTGTCACAAAACAGACCCAGTTGTCTTTCTCAATTTTTACAAACAGGTGTGTCCATAGTGGCCGGTGGTATTGAACTGCCTCCCCATGTGGAGAAATCAATTATTTGTGCCTTTACTGTGTCTCAAAGGAACAGAATAAGTGCAGCAATTGGCTAGGCTTAATGCTAGATCATGATATGCACTCGAAACCGCTAGGTCCAATAAAGTCCCACTTTATTGAATCTTGTGGTTTTGAGTGCATCAGCTCCTCTTTTGGGCGTGTAAAGTTGGTCCACATAGCCCCGCTCCATATAAAATGATATCTTTGCAAAGTTACAAAAATGATAATGAAACAATGAAAATTAGGAAAAGGTTCATTTGTTAAATACAGAAGTTGAGCTAGATGCATTACATTATGCCTTCGGGGCTCTATTTTTGGTTCGCAATAAACATTTGCAGTCACACTGTTGGTGACCTACAAAAAGGAAAAATTAGGTAGTGGATAGTGTGCTATTCTTCGGACGACAACATGTTTAATAAAACAATTTATTTATTTTATTGCTACAAAGGATGTATTAACCTAGAGTGACGAACAACCACCACCAAGACTTTTTCCAATTACTTGGGGTTGGCTTATATGTTTCCATTCCGTTCTATTTAAGGCCATAGCCTCAGTCAATCCACCTAGAGTGCTATTATGAACTGGGAACAAAATGAAATCAATTCATTCAAATGTGCTGTCCTAGCATCCCTTCTATTTGTTATACTATTAGAAAAATAGATCTTGCTAATACTAGTGATGTTTGGTCGCTAATTGATTGCTATGGCAAAGTTTGAGGATGCTATGGCAAAGTTTGAGGATGCTATGGCATCGATGTGGATTATGATTTCAAAATATTAAAGAATATAAATATATATATATAGATATATGTATGTATGTATGTATGCATGCATGTATAGCGTAAATATATAGGAAATTGTCATGTTTCACAACTTGGATTCTGCTAAACAACATACTGAATTTCAGGCTGAGTTGGAGGAGACAAACCAAAAAGAAGGCCCAGAAATTGATGAAGCTCAAAGCACCATTGCAGACGTTGAAAAGTTGTTTCAAACAACGGAAGTTTAGCTGGTCGCCTGTTGTCAAGAGGGTTAACAACCATTGTGCTGCGATTGTGAATTTCCTAATGTTAAATTTACTGTAAAACAGCTGGTGGATATTGAGTGTTTATCTTGTGGATTTCGGAACATTGATCATTTTTCGAAGTGGCTTGCTGATGGAAATTATATGCATCTTGAAATTGGGTTACTTTGGTCCTCAGGAAACTCTAATGATAACTAGACTAATTTTTTACTGTAAGTTCAAAAATTTAGAATGGTTTCTGCAAATGAAAGCGGAGCTGAGCTTGAGCCTGTTTGGGCTTGTTTTGTTCGTTTGTGGGCCCAAATCGGGTTCGTGATGAGTTCGAAAAGTTGAGTTTGGGCTTGTTTTGGTATTATTTTGAAAAGCTCATGCTCGGATTGTTTAATAAAAAAATTCGTTCGGGCTCAATTTGAGTTTGTGTTCAAGATCGTTTGGCTTGTTCACAGAACGAGCTTGATGTTCATGAACATGTTCATGAGCTTATGATCATGAACTCATACAAGTTTATATTTATAAATGTTATTTATAAATGTGTTAACGAGTTTATGTTCACAAGTTCAATGTGGTTTGGGATTGGGATTGGCTCGTTTAGTAAATGAACTTATAATTGAGATTGGCTCGTTTGGTAAATGAAATATATATTGAGTTCTTGATTGCTGGTTTATTTCCCAAACCCATTAGTTAAATTACATTAATTTATATAGTATTTACCAAAAATATATCTTTGTTTCACACACACACACACACACACAAACAAAGATCTACAAGAAACACCAGTCAAACTCACTTGAAATCCAACAATTTTAGTTCAAATTAGTCAATTGACAAGTCAAAGGATATTCTGGGCATTTTATCATGTGTCAGAGTATTAATTATTAAGAGGTGTGTTTGTCAAATGTAGCAAATTTGAGGGGTGCCATTGTTAAAAAAAAGACCAACTTTCATCTAGTTGTCAATAAAATAAACCTCAAGAGTGTGAATGTAATTAACTTAAAAAAAAAAAAGGTTGTGACCAAATTCAAAATATTGTTTATATAAGTGTAAGCAATAATTTATAAACTTTGCCATTAAAAACATAAAAGATCACAAAAATGAGTGAATTTCGGAAATCAAAAGCTACAATAATTATTAATAATACATTCATGTCACAAATTACATAAGTACATTCTGCATAAACAATTCGTAGAAACTATATTAAAGAAGGCTGACCCTTTTTCCTAGTCTTCGTATTGACGTAATTCATAGATATAAATACTACGAGTACGTAATACTGTATTTTAAATTAAAATGATTACATATAATGTGAGATGGATACATATATATGGGTTAAAAAAAAAAAAAATACATATATATGTACTCCGTAATATATTAGCCACGTAATAATTATAAACCTCTTACTACGTAATAATTAGAAACCTCTTACTACGTGTCAAACCGACTCACACCAATATTTCGGGTCCAAGCGAAATACCCGAAGCTTATCTTCCCATATGTATATATATAGAGAATGATGGTTTCTATTAGCCCCCATTATTCTATTTCTAGGGTTTCCTTTCTTGACGAATCTGTTGTTTTCACTCTATTTCTCTCTCTCAAGCTTGGTTTTCAATATTTTTTTTTCTTCTAGGGTTTCGATTCTTTGCTTTGTTCTGGTCTAATTTACAATTATTTGAGACTTTTGATCTTCTGATCGGTGAAGACTCTTGAACAATGCCTCCAAGAGCGGTGAAGAAGACGGTGGCAGGGCCAGGAACGAAGCGAACGACAAGGGTCACCCGAGGGACTCCGAAGGCCAAGAACCAAACTGCTCAGATTGCCGAAGAATCGGTGAAAGTTGAGGAGATTTCGGCCGAGGTTCAGGAGGAGGTCAAGGTTGAGGAAAAGGCTCTGGACAAGACGGCCGCTGTTTTGGATCCCTGGGAGCCTGAAGCCGAGCCACAATCGGAGGCGGATGGGATGGTTTCTGTGAATCGTAAGTTTTCACCTTTTATTGATTTTAGTTATTTATTTTACTTTAGATATGATAATTACGAATTGGGTTTCTCTTGAAATTGGGCTTGTGGTATAAAAAATGTTAGATATGGGATGGGATGAGGTTGTCGGTAGGTTTTTCTGTTTCTTGATTTAATCGATCAGTTGTATTGTGGTAAAGTTTGCGTCAGTCTAATGGGGATTGCCGAATAGTGTGATACATCGATGGTTTACGTGTGCACAGAGATGTTATGGGTCTTCCTTGGTAAGGCATAAGGCTGGAAGAAATATATTGGATGTGATGGATTCAGATCTGAAATTATCACCTTATATGTTTGTTTTTGTAAGTGACGGGTTCTGTAGATCATGGAAAAGGATCATATATCGGATACTCTCTTGTTGTTTGGAATTCAAGGTTTTTAATTGACAGCTGACTACTGTTCAGATTGATTGGAATGGGATAGTTCCTTACCAACTTTTTCATCTTCTGATAGACCTTAATATTATTATTTTTATTTGAATTCCAACTGGAATTCTGATTGTTTTGGTTTTATTTTCTGCTGAATAAGCAAAATAATATTGATTCAGCAGAACAAATGGGTTTGAAACCAAACTAATTGAATCTTGGATGAAAATTTCTATTCCTATTCTCTTGTTTTCTCCTATTTTACCTGAAATCAACAGCTATTCTTGCGTAGGTTCTAGGTGCGGATGCCTAAGTGCACACCACAAAATATTTATTTAGAAATACTTTTCAAATACTATTTATTATGAACATAATTTTTTATGGCACAGTTACCCTACACAGAAGTGATGCTTTTTGGTAAGAGTGCTATTTGGTGGCAAAATTATTGAGAACATGATTCCTGTTGGTTCAGATTTGTTTATAGCTAACAGGCCTTGTGCGTCAGTTGGAATTAAAAGGACTTACAACTGCTTATTAATTTATCTATTCATTTGCATTGGAGCCCTATGAGTAAATTGAAAATTCACTCTGTTGATTGGGATGGATGTCTGTATCTCCTTTTCTTTTGCCTGGCAGAGGAAGACGAGGTGAAGGAGTCTGTTGGTGAATATGAAAAAGGTGAACGCTTAGATTTGGAGGACAATGAGCCTGAATATGAACCTGAAGGATATGGCGGTGTGGATTATGATGAGAAGGAAATTGAACAGGAGGGTGTTCAGGAAGAGTTAGATGAAGTGGAGGAAGAAGCTGAGGAAGGGGGTTTAGGTGAAGAGGAAGAGGGTGATATGGTTGAGGAGGAAATGGAAGATGCCCATGACGAACTTCAGGGTGAGGAGGAGAGGCATGCTGTTGAGGATCATGCTGAGATGGTTGATGCAGAGGAAGAGGAGCACCATGAAATTGTTAAAGAGAGGCGCAAGCGAAAGGAGTTTGAAGTTTTTGTTGGCGGCCTGGACAAGGATGCCAGTGAGGATGATCTTAGGAAAGTCTTCAGTGAAGTTGGTGAAGTTGCTGAAGTCAGACTTTTGATAAATCCTCAGACTAAGAAGAACAAGGGATTTGCATTTCTGCGTTTTGCAACTGTGGAACAAGCAAAACGAGCTTGTACTGAGCTGAAAAATCCCATGGTATTTCTTTGATCTTATCATAGTTCGAGACTGATTTTGATTATATGTTCAATCATATTTTCTTAATGACCAATATTCCAGGTCAACGGGAAACAGTGTGGTGTTTCTCAGAGTCATGACAGCGACACCCTTTTTTTGGGTAATATATGCAGAACATGGACAAAGGAAGCTGTAAGTAAATTGGGCAAATTATTGTTGACTCTGAGCGTCCAGTAATGATAGTCATCCATACTAGATTTCTGAAAGTTTCTTAATCCCTTTCTGACATATCAAATTGGCTTCCAGTTGAAACAAAAATTGAAGCAATATGGAGTTGAGAATATTGATGATTTGACATTGGTTGAGGACAGTAATAATGAGGGAATGAACCGCGGCTTTGCATTCTTGGAGTTCTATTCTCATTCAGATGCCATGGATGCATTTAAACGTCTACAGAAAAGGGATGTTGTGTTTGGAGTTGATAGGACTGCAAAGGTTTCTTTTGCAGATTCCTTCGTTGACCCAGGTGATGAAATCATGGCTCAGGTATATACTTGGATCAACTTCTTTGCATTCAATTTAAGATGGCCATGGTTTCTGGCTGGAATAACTATGTTTCGTTATTTTGTTCATATGGCTTATGGGCTTAGCATGTGTGCTAGGAACTCAAATAAACAATTAAGCATGGAAGCTGATATTTAGTTTGGAGATTCCTTTCTGGATAAACTTATTATTTGACCTCTATTTTTGAATTTCTGACTTAGTTATACTGCTCATGACACTACTTGCTAGAGAAAATTAAAAGATAAAAGGGGAATTAAAGAGGCATGAATTGAGTGTATATACAATTTGTTTCATTGTTTCATATATTGATTTTAGAACGTTCTATGAACATGTAGATCTGTGTGGGTTTAGATGTTTTACGTGCTCTCATGCTTTGAGGCGTATCAATAACATTTGGTATTGGCATAAGATAATGTTTGAGCCACACTGGGAATTTTTTTGACCCTAGCCTCCATTCCATTTTTATTAGTGCCCTTCCTCTATATATGATTATGAAACTATAAGGCAGTATTTTCAATCCCGTATTTTTTAGTTCAGGTTAAAACAGTGTTTGTGGATGGTCTGCCTGCTTCATGGGATGAGGATTATGTCAGAAAGCTGCTCAAAAAATTTGGGGACATTGAAAAAATTGAGCTTGCTCGTAATATGCCTGCTGCCAAGAGAAAGGATTTTGGTTTTGTTACATTTGATTCCCATGATGCTGCAGTGACATGTGCTAAAAGCATTAATAATGAAGAGTTGGGTAAAGGAGAGAACAAGGTTGGTCCTTTTGTCTTAAGATATCTTTTGATTGTTGGAATCGACTCTGCACGACTTTGTTTAATGGCGTGCTACATTTTAGGCAAAAGTGAGGGCCAGATTATCAAGACCACTTCAGAGAGGTAAAGGAAAACATGCTCGTGGAGATTTCCGACCTGGGCGTGCTGTTGGACGAGTTGTCAGGGCTCCCTGGGGTCGCTCAGTTCCTCGTGGCTTCCCTCCGCGTGGGGCAAGAGGTATCGGAGGTCATCTGCCACCTGTTAGTTATCGTGGGTTGAAAAGGCCAGTTGTATTTAGGGGCAGACGTCCTGCTATGGCTGTGCCACCTAGGGGCAGGCCCTTGGCTCCTTTGTCCAGGTCTTCTGATAGGAGACTACCTGGTATGTATCAATTTTCCGTTATGTCCAATGTCCATTTGGCTATGTTTCTCCTGCTGTACAGAGAGTAGCTTATCTCTTTCCCTGCAGTTTCTTCATACCCCAAGAATAGCTTGCAGAGGGATTATGGTAGGCGTGATGAGCTTCTGCCAAGGGGCAGTGTTGCTGCAGAATATGGTTCCAGGGTCGTCTCTGAGAGACGTCCAGCATATAGGGAAGACTATTCATCCCGAGGACCTGGTTACTCGGACTTGTCTAGAAGCACTTCTCATACTGCAGCAAGGAGAACTTATGTGGATGACGGCTATGGACAAAGGTTCAAAAGGCCTCAAAGTTACCGTGAAGAACATGGCCGTGATTATGGCTCTATTTCCGGTTCAAAACGTCCTTATACTGCAGTGGTTAGTACATATATGCATCATCTATTTTCCTTGTGCTGGTATCTCTTTTCACTTCCTACCTGTGGCAAAAGCATTGTTTCTGATATTGTGGTATGGTTTAATACTACAAGGATGATGTTCCTCCACGTTATGCTGATGTGAGAGGGCGGCACTCAAGGGCTCGGTTGGATTATGAGCTTGATGGCAGCACTTCTCGATACGATGATGCTTACAGTGATAGGTTTTTATAATCATTCAAACGAACTAGATGCAGTTGTATACCTTTTTTGTTGTTCTATATTGCTGCAGTGACTCACCTTCCTGTGTTATATTGGCAGACTTGGGAGATCTAATATAGGATATGATGGCAGAAGCTCCATCTCCAATCACAATTCACATGGGCTTTACAGCAGTCGCCATGGTATGGGTTACAGTGGAGGTGCGTTTTAAGTTACCAATGACAAGATATGCATCCATTGGTATTATAGTGTTTTCAGCTATAAAGTTGTGCTCCATTTCTTTGCAACTTGCAGGCTCTTATGGTAGTGGTGATATTGGTGGGACGTACTCATCAAGCTTTGGCGGTGATTACATGTCTCGTGGAAGTGATGTATGCTTCTATGCTCAACTTTTCTGTTTGTAAAACTCTTGGTGTTTACGATCACTCCTTTATCACGTATTTTTGTTTTTTCACTGGAATTGTAGGTTGGTCGTAGTTCTTACTCATCTCTATATTCTGGTCGTAGCTTGGGCAGTAGTAGTTACATGGAAAATGGTGGTTCTGGACCATACTATTGAGGTAGGCCACGTTGTTGTTTCATGTCATATTCGTCATAAGGTACATCAGAAATTAATTATCTCTACTTTGGTTCATTTACCTGAAGACCACGGTTGCCATCTGTTTGTTCTTCATAAGAGCTTTGATTGATGGAAGAGGAGCATGTTACTTGATTGGGAATTTGTCTTTGGCACAGATTTGAGTTGACAAAAGGGTTGCTGTGTAGGATGTGGATTATTTGAAGCATATGCATTATTATTCGTACAGATATGGAAGGAAAGCATATTACTGTGCATGCTTAACCTCTCTTTGTGGGTTGAGAGGAGAATTTGTTTTTTAAGTACTATCATAGAAGCTTGTATTGGTTTAGGCCATCCCAGATTTACAGCTAGGATTTTGTCAAGTCGTATATTTATGTGGTATTTATGAATGGATATATTTCTTCCCTCTTTATCTCCCTGCAAGATTCCACATGATGTTTTTAAGCGGAAGTATGCTGCATCATCTATTTCAATGGGCAACATATATGGTAAAGGCTGCTTTTTAAATTGGTTAATAAGGACTTTTTGATGGATTGTCATGTTCAACTCACTGGATAAGTTTATCTATAATGCTTAACCATTAGAGCCAGCTTGTGACTATCTTACTAACCAACATAAAAAAAAATGTGGAGAGTCATGACAGCAATATGAACTTTTAGTTGATAAATCAGTACTAGGTTGCTCAAAAGTTTTGAGAACAAGTTCCTCAAAAAATTTCGGTTCTACTGTTTAATTGATTAAGCATATCTGGAGCAACTTGATTTACGTCACCGAATATCTCCCTTTCTCTGGAGCTTAGAGGTCAAGATGCCATTAAAGTTTAAGTTGGTGAGATGACAAAGTACATCGATCTGTTTGTGATTAAAGTTTAAGTTGGTGAGATGACAAAGTACATGGACCTGTTTGCAATCCTTGTTCTTTATGCTGTAGTTGTTGGCTTCTAAATGCTGCTTATAAGAAATGAAGTTGAACTTGTGAAGATACAGAGAATATCATTCAATCAAATTTGATGGAATTAATGTTCTTGTTGAAGTGAAGAATTTGATTATAGTATATATATATATGTATATACATTTGTCCTAGGTTTTTACAATTTTGTACTGCCCTGATGTGTAATATGATGAAAGAGATCTCTTGTTGAGTGCTTGTGTTGACTGGTTTGTCGAAGCAGTGCTTCTTACATCCCTACCTTTCATGTTAGTGAATTATGTACTTTCCTTGGCTAGGAGTTGCAAAAATGTTACATGGCACTTTAGTCGGTGCACTGCTATCAGACATTTATTGTGTCAGCTTCTCTCCTAGCACGGGCTGCTTAGTATCCAGCAATAGTAATGGATTTGTGACTTCATTAGATGCTATGGGGTGGTTGTGTTGGGGACCTGAAAATTTGTAATCTCTTAGTTTGGATTATAGCATTAGTATTTTCCGTGTTGTGAGCTATAGTCAATCCCAATGCCTTAATTTTGAGGTGCTTTAATTTTTCATCTCAGTTTACCCACAGGAAGAAGGGGGAGTCTTTCTATTTAAAGAGAAGGAAAAGTGCGGTATAAATGAAATAGATTGATTAGGATTTAAGCACCAATGTCTTCCATTTTTTGACAAATCCATCTTGGGGTCATTGAAGAAAATGTAAGATCCCATAGGGAATTGAGTTTATAGGATTTTGAATGGACAATAACATTCATTATGGGAGCTGTATGGTGAATGGATATTTCTTAAGTGGAGTCATAGAAACAAATTTTAGATCTAGACTGGAGATATCTAGTACAAGAGGATAATTTGGAATATCCTTGCGAAATGGCTTTCCAAGGGCAAAGGTAAGTCTCCAAATAAACCTAGCTAGTGTCCCACTGTTTGTTGAATACCCTACTTTTCTTTTTGATTACCTAGTGTCAAAGAGAGCTTTGTCAACCACTTATTAAAAGGGTTTTGTTCCTAATTCACTCAAACTTAACCTTCTTATGCTAATAAATGGTTTCCAAACTAACCAAGTGATCATGGGTAGGGTACTGATATTTCCAAGAAAATCACTTTAAGTCTTTTCAATTTTTTTTAGATATACAGATAGGCAACTTAAAAAATGGAGAAAACATTAGGTGGGGTATTGGCAAGACAAGATCGGATATGAGTAAATCTACTCCTCAACAATATATATATATATGTGTGTGTGTGTCTTTTTCTTCGTTCTAGACATTAGACCACTCCTCAACCACAGGGTGCCAAAAGATCTGGGAGTCATAATCTTTGAATCTGCTTTATTACTTGGACATTTTTCTTTGATACCCTCGGGTGTTTATATGAAAATTGAACTTTTTGAGATGAATAATCTTTTTAGGAATTTTGGGACATTTGCTGCTAATATTTATCCGACTTATTAATTTCAACACTGGCTGTGTTTAGTGGCTTTCCTTCGTTCTATCCCTGATTTTGCAGTTGCAATTACACTTCAGATTTAAATATTGAAGCCGAGTCAAAGCAAGATTGGCAGTTAAGTTTTTGAAGAATCTAGATGGGAATGAGAATGAGAAGATGCACCCCTTTTTTTGGGTCCCTTCCACCTCCACCACCACCCGACCAACCCACACATTGGGACTATGGTTAACCCATATTTACTTTGGGCTCCATAGTTGCTTGCCTAGTTGCCAAAGGCGCGTGTATGCTCCAGAACAGCCCTAGGCTCAAAAAAGCACGCCTATTATTTTTCATTCATTCATATCATTTTCTTTTTCTTTTTCTTTTTAAATGACATAGAATTTACATGCTAAACATCACATCATGGTCATACTCGTTGGATAATATTACTTAATAAGGAAAATATCATGGTTATACATTATTTGTGTCTAGTGCTTGATTATGAATTTTCATTAATATAATATATGTTTAAAATTTAGAAGATTATTGCATTTTAATTGTTGCTCATTTTTTATGGTATTTAATTTAGTTAATGCATGTGCATGTCAAAAGGATTTATGCTTTTACTCGTTCCTTTTAAGATTATATGTCAAAAATTATATTTTTAAATTTGTTTTTTGTATAATTGTATTGTATTTGGTGAACTGTTGTGAATGTACTTTGCTTTGAAATGAATTTGTATGGAAACTGAATATGTATATGTATATTGATTTAGCTAATTTATTGAATTTATATGCTAAAATGCTTCTTTATTTTGATCTTAACTAGTTTGTGTTACGTATTTAATTAATATTTATTTATACATATGTAACATTGATTTAATTTCTTCTGGAACAATGACAAACACTTTATTGATGGTAGATTATGGATCTACCAGAAATTCGATGCGTAATCTCAGCATTCAATGTGTATTTCTGAATAATCTCATATGTCAATTATTCAACCATTTCATTTTGGAAGTTCAATGTTGGCAAGAAGATGTCATTTGTTAGTCCCGGAACTTCTTTGTGGTGGCTCAATGACTATGATTGCTTGAAGAAGGCATTGTTGGCTGTTATTGTTGATCAAATTTCATTTCTATTTCACAACTGCTAGTGGAATACTACTACAGTTCTATTCTTTTCCAAGGAAATATTAGCTATGGGGTGGTTGGATTGGCATATATTGTATATTCTCGTCATCTAAATGCACAGGTTCGAGGTCCTCAAAAGTTTTATATTGATTGGCAAGAAGAATGTTGCTTGTTGCACTCTCTGGTTGGTCACCCTCAATTTTTTTTTTCTTGTAGTCCACTTGATGATGTAATGTGCTGTTGCCTTGTAAACTATTCCAGTTTATGTGGAAAGTTGTTTTGAAAATGTAAATGCTGTATAAAAAACACAAGAAAATGAAAGCAGCAAAAATAATATAAGATTGAGGTTTGTACAGAAATGGAGTACTTCAATTTTATTCTCAATATCTTGTCTCATAAATGTTCAGTTGTAAATGTTCAGTTGGTACTGGGGTTAAAAAAACCGTTTATGTATTGTATGTTTGTTGTCAAGAGCCTGCTGATTGTATGATAAATGGACGATATTGGCAGAAAAACTGTACGTTAGGGAGGATTTATGCAATACAGTTTGCTATCATCAGAACCATATCTCTACGATACATAATGTTTGTTGCTTGTGACTATTCTCAAGTCAAGTATGTTCCTTTATTACAGTTTGAATGGAGAATGTGACCCCTTTTCATTATTATTATTGTTGTTGTCGGTCTTTGTTAAGTTTAAAGGAATTTATCATATTGTATATGTTCTTCCTCTCATTGTATTTGTCATGTACTCTTGGGTGTGTGTGTGTTTACTATTTTATATGAAGAAAAAAGAAATGTAGTATTGATAATTTGATTGCTTTGAACTTGAGACATTTTTAAATAGAGAACAATGCCACCGAAATCAAGAAGAGAGAAGGCACATTGATCACAATAGTTTCCCAACTAGAATTGGCACATATTTTCTTCTTTTCTGACTCGTGAATTTTTTTCTTTTCTTATTTCATTTCTAAATGGTATCACATTTAGTGTGTGTATGTGTTTTTTCTGTTACCAAAGTTTGCTATATGTTAATCTTCCGTGCCGTGACATATGACTAAATTAAAATTTTTGATCATATATAACACACACTATGAACGAAAGAAGAAATGTCCCAAACGGAAGGTTAAATGGTCAGCCCAGCAAGCACTACATACAAAGACTACCTAGTTTTAAAGAGTTGATGCACCACCATCTGCATCCAATACAAAGCATGGGTAGACAGGTTGTGGCTGTGATTCTACTGCTCCTAGGTGTGGCGGTGGTGGTGGCGCACGGTGCCAAGCAAGATTTGAGGGAATGCCTGGTGGTGTGTGGACGAGACGTGGTTTCGTGCACAATTAGCTGTGCAAACGTTGGATCAATTCTGGAGATCATAACAGCATGTATCATGAATTTTTGTGGTATTTCTAACATGGACTGCATGGCCACTTGTGCCGGAATAGAGCCACTCGGAGTATAGTTTCAGTCTTGATGCCATTCATATAACTGTCTTTGAATGGTGCCACTCCTAGTACTATTAGGCCCCAAATAAATGTAACCCTATGACCTATAAAAACACACAAAAAGAAAAAAGAAGAAAAAAAAAAAAAAAAAAAAAAAAAAAAAAAGGGTATTCCCGGCAACTTGAGATGATTACTCTCTCTTTCATTCATACTCAAAACACACAAAAAATTCTGTATTTTATAATGGAAAAAAAGAATTGATTATTATTGGTAAATGGTATGTAATTGCATTGAAGTAGATCATTGAAATTCAAGCTTCGAGGATTCTGATTGATTAGTTGTTGCTGTACTTGTAGGAAACTTGCAAACACTAATCATTTATAATACAAAAATTTAAATATACAAAGCAATTTCGGCGTATTTCATTAAAATCAATACACATACATGTTACTTTAGCTTTAACAACGCAATATATACTGCCTGGTAATGATGGCTTCCAACAATCACTTAAAAGGATCCATTGTTCGCAGTTGCTGAAAGTAAATCTCGGAAAAAAAGTACTTCACAGTATTACAACAACGAAATAATTTCATTAAAAAAAAAAAAAAAGGGAATAAAAATGTGGTCAAACAATCTTCATCGACTAAACAGAAGACCTGTTTGGGAAAACAAGTAACTACGACTCGTGACAACAACAATTGTGCTAAAAACAAATGGGAATAAAGTACCCTGATTATGTAAAACCAATTGTGCTAAAAAAAAAAAACGAAATCTACCAGGTATGGGTGGAAAAAATGCAATAAACCCCTTTTAGTTCAGAATATAAAACCCTGTCTAGATTAAGCTACACATTATACTTTCCAAAACAAAGTAAAGTACCTAGTGAGAGTGCATCCTATGTGTCCACATTCAAATGCAAAGTCCTAAAAGATGGTCCATCAGACAACATTGAAGGTGTGGTGTTAAAAAAACAGTAAAAAGAGTAGATAATCAATCACCTTTCAAATTCTTAAGAAATGCAGAGTCTTAAGAGCTAATTTAATGGATTTTAGAAATTAACAAAGAGATCAGGGAAGTCTACGCTAGTGCAGCTACGAAACGAAAATGTAGAGAACTATTTACTTATTAGCTTTCATGCCACCGAGAGAAAAGAGAAGGCGAAAAAATGGTAAACTAGTGAAAACTTTTATGAAGGACAATGCACACTGAAATCAACGAGAGAGAAAAATCACTACTGTCCGTTGGGTTTTGTGGCACATTGGTCACAGTAGTCCCCAACTAGAATTGGTGAATTTTATTTTCCTTATTTCATGTCTAAATGTTTTCAAATTTAGTTTCATTTCAATGTACATCTTCATCTTCCGTGCCGTGTCATATGGCCAAATTAACAAATTTGATCCTATATTACACACACACTTCTTGAATGAAAAGTGGAAATGTCCCAAACGTAAGGTTAAATGGTCAGCTCTACAGTGCATACAAATACTAGTAGTTTTAAGGAGTTGATGCATCAACCATCTGCATTCAACTTCCAGCGCCAACACAAAGTATGGGTAGACAGGTTGTGGCTGTGATTCTGCTGCTCCTAGTTGCGGCGGCGGCGGTGCATGGTGATCCCAAGCAAGATTTGAGGCAATGCCTGGAGGAGTGTGGACGAGAAATACTTTCGTGCACAATTAATTGTGCAACCGGTGGATCAGTGCTGCAGATCATAACTAATTGTATCATGAATTCTTGTGGTGCTACTAACATGGACTGCATGACCAGTTGTGCCGGGATGGTCTAGTTTCATATAATTGTCTCTGAATGGTAACCCTTAGCCATATTATGCCCTAAATAAATGAAAGCGTAATCCCTGCAACTTAAAGATGGATTACTCTCTCCTTTGATCCCCCTTTCATTCATACTCACAACACATGTAATACAACCCATACCGTATTTTATAATGGAATAAACAATTGACTAATATCGGTTTCGACATTTAACGGATGTAATTGCATTGAAGTAAGATCATTGATACTCATTAGATTTCAGAATAAGTTCAGAAAAATTCATGCATATGATATATACAAGTTGTGCATGTATGTGTTTTTCTGGAGAGAGACAATAAAACAAAACTAGTGTCTGAAGTATCTGGGTAACATGAGCTTCAAGGATTCTGCCAGAGACGATACAACAAAACTGGTGCTCTCTGCATGCTCTCTCTATAGTCTATATATTTATATTATATATATATATATATATATATATATATATTATATGCAGCCAATAATGATACAAATTTACAATTGTATGAACTAAACTGATTTATATTTGCATCCTATATAGAAAAGATCATCATCCAAGATTTCATCAGTTATTGATATACTTGGAGGGAACTTGAAGACTTTAATCATTTATAATACAATTTTTTAAATATACAAAGCAATTCCGGCTTTATTTCATTAAAATCAACACACGTACAGATTACTTTAGCTACAACAACACAATAAATACTGCCTATTAATGATGGATTCTACCAACGCTCACTTAAGAGGAACCATTGTTCTCAGTTGCTGAAAGTAAATCTTGAAAAAAGTACTTTACAGTACCCCAGTAACAATGAAATAAAAATGCGGCCAAACAAACTTCATCAACTAAACACCTACTAAACTTCATTGTCCAGAATGCAAGAAAGAGGAGAGTAACATCATCGATAGAGAACTTTTACTCATCCAAAGCATCATGGCATACAAATTCTAAAGTAGCATATAGGGGGTAAGGGGGGCGCCTTTCGGCGTTAATCATGTTAATCCACCATTGCTTTCGATAATGAATCAAGCCAATAGGGAGCTCACTGCCAGATCATATCTTTCTAAGGCTTTTCGTATAACGTTGGCCTGGTCATACTCGATTCAAGTGGGGACGAAAAGATAATAGGAATTACTAGTCTACTAGTATGGGTCAAAAATTGCAAAAGGACTCTTGCAATAAACCCCATAGTCCAGAACATAACAATGACCAAACTGTGTCTAGATTAAGCTGTACAGGTCCCAAAAGATGCTCCAGTGGTTGGATATTCACGAATTTACAAAGTCCATCAGACAATATTGAAGGTGGAGTTCAAAAAATAGTAAAAAGAGTAGATAATCACCTTTCAAATTCTTAAGAAATAAATAGTCTCAAGGGTTAATTTAATGGATATTAGAAATTAACAAAGAGATCAGGGAAGTCTACACTAGTGCACTCAATTGGAGTATACGGACATTCTCTCCTAACTGTACACACTAAGCACTACCTACCTCTAGCAAACTGATGTAACGATGCTATAGAGAGAACCCAGCCAAATCAAGTAATATCCTTTTTGGACACATTAGTTTCGTTGATGTTCAAGGCCATGGTGAACTGCCACACACAAATGCTACCTACCTCTAGCAAACTGATGTAACAATGCTATAGAGAGAACCACCTAAATCGTGTCAGATACTTGTTGGACATGTTAGTTTTGACTTTTGATGACAGTCATGGCCATGGTGACAGACAAATTCTACACAAAAAAAAAGAAGAAGAAGCAAGTAGAGAGAAAGAGAGAGAATGCATAATCTTAGTCCATACACACACACAGAATCTAAAAGACATCATAAGATTCAAAATAGGAGCAGTACAGAATAGGAACATGTATAGTTATTATGCAATTTAAGGGAATATAATAGCACATCTGTTGATTTCAACCCCAACTTGAGCCTTCTAAAAAGCTCTATTTATTTAGCAAATTTTATTATGGAATCGGCCACATTTACCATAAACACCCTTGGAACTCATCTTTTTCTCCTCAAAATATTTAGATAACCATTTCTAATTCCCCATAAACCTTTCAGATCCCTTGTAAAATGTTTGAATAAAGTATCAATTTCTTATGATTAATGGTTTCTAGAATTTTTAGGAATAAGGTTTCCAGTGTTCATTGAAAAGATAGCACATCTAACCCTGCATCCTCATTAGCAAGCAAAACCGCAAAACATAACGTGGAAGAGAGGAGCAATGGAATTGGAAATCTTGCAAGAGGTAACCCAATGGCTGAATTAACTGCAGCTACATTTGCAATTCATAGGTTTCAGTAATAACTTTTTAAGTAAAGGTTTTAGTGACCCTCTTCCAGATTAAGTTTCCTTTAAGCTGCTTATCATGCGACTAATTCTCGTGATCACAGATTCATTTACATTTCCCATATCAACTCCAAGATTTATTTCCCAAATTGGCTTCAAATTTCAATGATGTTTTCACGAGCCCAATAAATTTAAGCACTGACATAAATATGAATTGATGTTACAATTTCCAGCTAATAAAACATAAACAACAGTAATGCATAATGCATAATGCACAAATTGCATCCACAAGAGACACTCCAATATCATAAACACTAAGCTGACATGCACTGAATCAGAATGAAAAGATGAGATTGTTATTTTTGTCTACTTGTGCAATTTGGAAACAAAGCTACATTGATCTATTATCGAAACTACAAGTGATCAAGTTCCAAATTTTCCATTACTCAAAAAATAATAGAACATGGCATGCAATATAACTCAAAAAAGGAAATTCAACTACTAAACTTACATATCTCAGTTGTGCGGTCTAAATCCGTAACCCTATAGTGCCAGATTCATCAATTTGTGGATATCAGAGAAATTCCTAATTATCCATTGTGAATCACTCACTAAAAATGCAAACTTTGAATCCTTCAATCAAGAAATCTGTGATCCAATGGTGACATTACTTAGTCCTCGGCTGTTGGAACTCTTTTTGCCTTCTTCTTCTTCTCCGAAAAAGCCTTTGCAAAGGCTTCCACTACCCTCTGCTGGGACTCAAGAATCATTTCAGTGCGCTTCAGCTCCATTTCCATCCTCATCGTCTCAACCTCCCTCGCCATTTCCATCTTCATCCTCTCCATCCTCACAAATCCATCTCCCAATGCCTTAATCGCCGACACCATCTCCGATACCGGATCACCCGCCCTCTTCTTCCCCAACCCATCACCACTACCACCTTCTTTCTTCCCTGATCCCAATCTCTCCGAATACCCATCTCTCAAAACCCTAGTAGAGACAAAATTAGGGATCGGGTTAGGGTTTTCATCAAAATTTCTATAGATCTTCGTACCGGTCGGTACCATACCTGATCTGCCGGGAATTCTAATCCGAAATCCACTTCCGCCACCACCGATCCCATTACTCACCGACCCATAATTGCTCCGATTCAAAGGCACACCATGTTTGACATCGTTTTGATACAAACCCTGATATTCCTTCTCATCATCATCGTCTTCGCTCTCGGCACCGTGATCCACGGTGACCGAATCGATCGCCGAGGAAGTGCCCTTCTCCATGGACTCCATCCTCTTGAAATGGACCCAAGAGGAGGAGTATCTGTGGCCGTTGGGAACCGAGGAGGCTCGCTGCACCTCAGAACGGTACCGTTTCCGGAGTTTCTCCATCTTGTGACGGCACTGGACGGAGGTCTTCTGTGGGTTTCCGGAAGAGAGCGGGCAGCGGGCGGCAACGGATTCGGCGACCTCTTGCCAGTGGTTTGCCCTGAGGTTGCCTCGACGGAGAGAGTACCACTTATCGCGGTAGGAGTCGATCAGAGCCACCGTTTCGTCGTGGGACCAGCACGGCGGTGGAAGGCGGCGGGAGGAGGAGGAGGAGGGCGGCGGGGGGCCGGGTGGATCTTGGGTAGATAGTGAAGAAGGAGCAGCCATGGTGGGTGGGGTGAAGAAAGAAGAGATCAGGCGCAGGTTAGATAAGGAAGGAGGAGACACGGAGAGAAAAAGTGGCGGTGGTGGTGGAGGAGGAGGAAGAGGGTTGACATAAAAAAAATAGGTTTATTGGGGGCGTGGGGAGGAGTGGTGTGCGGCTGATTTGGAGAATGGGCCACCGCTAAGGGAGGAAGGCTATCGTGCGCGGCCGGTAAAGCTGCGCACCCACTTGGGAAAGGTCCACATATCTGACTTTTAGCCCACAAAGAGCTGAGCAGTCACCACCCACCCACCGTCCGCACCGGGTGGGGTGGGGGGTGGGGGTGTGGACTTGGTGTTTGGGTTGCCCTTTCATTTTGGGTGGCGGTGCTGGGTGGTTGGTTTGATTTAGTTTAGGATCATGTTTAGGGCAATTTTAAATGTACATATAATTACTATATTATATACTCTTAATATATATCTCTCTATATATATAGAGAGAGGGAAAGGTGGAGGGAGATTAAAGAATTACTAATGTGTTTTTGAGGTGGAAAATGGGGTAATGGTGGGTACCATGGCTATTGGATCATCATAGCAACGTCATCAGTCATTAGATCCAAGGTGAGGATGGAGAGATTATTGAATACCCCAAGGGTATGGTACCCCGGGGTAGTAAGGGTCATTGGATTATAGATGTGGTGGTGACCACATCCAAGGGTTGGTATGCCCCGGGGGTACATACCCCGGGGTATTCAATAATTTTCCGTGAGGATGATACTATGAACTTGAGGATGATGTCATCAAATTGAGTGGTGTTACTCATGACTCTTGATGAAATATTGATTGATCAATTTTTATGGAATATGAAAAGGTATTCTCATGGTTCATCAAAACTTATTAGTCAAGCAAATTATTTTAACTAATTGATCTAAAAAATTATTTACCTACCTGATAATGCAATTTAAGTTTGACGGAGTCGCACTATACTCTAAATTTTAGAAAATTCAATTTTAAGTGGCACTGCAAGCCTGTAATAAATAAATGAATCAAATCGTATCAAATTGAGCCTAAGATTTTTTCTAAGTTTAATTTTAAGTTAGGACTCAAACTCAAACTTACCTCGTTTAATAACAAAACTCATTTGGATTTAATATGAGCTCGTGTTTAAGACCGTTTTGATTTATTTTATGAACTTATCTGAGTTTACACAATTATGTGTTCATGAAAGTGGTGTATGCTCTAGAAACTTGTATATTTTTTTGAAGGCCAAGCCAAATTGAGTTTCCCCAAGTTTTCTGCAGATAACCCGGTTAAGGTCTAAGTTTCTGAACCCCAAATTATGGGAAGATCATCCAGAGATATTTGTTGATTTAGCATTCACATTGCCATCTTCTTTACCTCTATATTACTTAATATTCTTCCTCTTACATAATGCAGCACAAGTGTCTATATCTTCGGCTTGCTATATATATATATATATTGCAGTGACAATTTTTCCTACTGACACTATCTAGTGTCGATGCAACTCAGTTCACAGGCATTATATGTCCAGATGTCTTATGATTCTGCAACTTCTACACCATATGTGTTTTGTGCTGCCCAATTTCTTATTTGGTAATCTTCAATTTCTCAAGTACTTAATTACATGGTCCAACTTTTTTCTGATCTCATTGAAAGTTACATTTCAAAATAAATTGTTGTAGAGCATAAAATAGCCAAAATTTCAAATCACTTGTTTAGATTAGTATTCTCAACCTACTGACATTAAATCAAGCCAATCAAATCTCATTGACAAAATATAAGATAAAGAGGAGACGGATAAAAACCAAGCCAATGTCAACTTTGCAAGAAATATATATATATAAGAACAATTCACATTTTATAAGCTTTTGAAGCATCATTCTTCACCATCTGCTACTTTGTAAATCCTGTTTGATTCTGTGAGAGAATGGACAGAAGGCTGCTTGAGGCTGCCTGGACTGGCAATGTTGAAGATTTGCTCAAAGTTACCGGAGAGGATCCTTGTATGCTCAGTGCTGTTGCATTAGCTGGTGCAGAAACTCCACTTCATGTTGCTTGTTTGGCTGGCCATCTCAATTTTGTTCGAGAGCTCCTGAATTTGAGCAAAGAATTTGCCGGAGAGCTGAACCAAGATGGTCTTAGTCCTCTGCATATTGCCTCGGCTAAAGGGTATGCAGAGATTGTGAAGGAGCTCATCAAGGTAGACCAGAATCTCTGCCTACTAAATGGAAGAGAAAGAAGAGTTCCCCTTCACTACGCGGCAATCAAAGGCAGGGTTCAAGTCATCAGAGAACTGCTTTCAGCTAATGCAGATTCTATTGCACAAGTGACAGCTCGAGCAGAGACTGCTCTTCACCTTGCAGTGAAGAACAACCAATTCGAAGCCTTAAGAGTGTTGATGGAACACCTCAATCAATTCAACAAGGAGGATATCATAAATAAGAAGGACGACCAAGGCAACACCATTCTTCACCTAACAGTGTCAAGAAAACAGTATGAGGCAAGTATTAGTCACTACTTATTATCTTATGTTGTTTTGATATTGTCAGATTGTTTCCTTTTCACTAGCAACATGAAAAAAAACATGCGCAGGTGGTTGACTTGGTGTTTAATGAACATGTTGTTACTAAGGGAGTGGTGGAGGTGAATCCCTTGAACGAAAGGGGACTCACGCCTCTTGATTTGTTAACATTATTTCAAAGTGAAGCCGGTGATAGGGAAATCGAGGAAATCCTTAGGCGAGCTGGAGCTATGATGGCCAAAGACCTTCATTCCTTGGCACAGGTAGCTTTTAATGAAAATCAGGATGTTGCAGCTAATAATAGCCCATCAAATGACCAATCAAGAACAGTGCAGCTGCGATCTCCCTCTAAACAATTGCTAGAGTACTTCAAGTACGATGAAATTAAAGATTCCCTAAGTAAAGTGCGCAATTCGCTGCTTGTGATAGCTATACTAATCGCGACAGCAACATACCAAGCTGTGCTTAGTCCTCCGGGTGGTGTTTGGCAGGATGATTCTGGTTCTAATAACAACAATGGCACAAGTACTACTGCACCACACACTGCTGGGAGGGCAGTCATGGGCACCATCGGTTTCCTATGGTTTCTTCCTGCTTTTCAACTCAGTTGGATTTTATACGTCTCTTCACATGATACATTCTCTCACCTTCAGATTCCCATTGAGATTGGAATTGCTAATATCAACCATTGCCCTTATCATAACTTATAATATTTGCATGTCTGCAATTGCACCCAGCCTCAGCATGACTATATTTTTTTCTCTTATTGCTGCACTCATGCCTTATGCAGTATCAATTGCAACCAAGGTGGTGAGGGACCACTTAAGAAGGCCACGAGATGCATTACCCCTCACAAACCAAGAAAGCGCTTAAAGTTGAGACTTCTCGATGCCTTTTCCCCCCTTTTCATTTCTTGGTTGGCTGGATATATATGTAACAGTTTACTTAATTTTAAATAAATCTGTATTATTGCTTCTAAGAGCCAAAATTGAGCAGTCGTTGTCGTATTGTAGTTTCATTGTTCAGTTGAATGATCACTGTGGTACCTGCAATTTACCCAAAGATGCACATAATATTATGGTGCCTAACTAGTTATTATGTTTATGGATATTACAACTGTTTGCCAATGTCCCAGTAGGCTAGTGAATCACAACTGACAAGCACATGCCTATTTTTTTCTTTTCTAAAATTTCCAAATGATGTAATACAGAGAAATTAACAGATAAAAGTGTTGCATGGAAAACCATTGGCCTATTGACTCAATCAGATAACTCATGGTTCAAGAAATAATAATTTCATCGACACAAAGTGTGCACCTACATTGCCATTGATTGAAATGAGAAGAGTCTGTTGTGGCATGAACTCAGCTGTTCAAACCATTTTCTAGTAACTGCTTAAGGTCGTAGAATAATTTGGAACAAAACCAGCATAATGTGAAGTTGCAGTCATCCAAAAACCTTCTGCCGAACCGATTTTATTATCCGCAGCTGTCAAAAAACATATACTGCCAAGGTGATTTCTTTCACTGTCATGGTTGAGCAAGTGTAAACTAGCCAAACTCATTCCCATAGTCTGAACCTATCATTTTAGGATGGTTTGAATGATTTAGATATTCCAAACTCTATATCATGGTTTGAAAATGACCAAAAGGACTTAAATACTTTGATTATATAATGTTATAAGGTCATTGATTTATGCATCCTCTTCTTTCTGTCCAAGCCATCATAATCACCTTAAACATCTTGGTTGTAAAGTATACTTCAACTCTGTAGATAATCAATCATAAATGCTTTTTTATGTTTTCTTTGACCCACAAAGTGCCAAGTCAATTAAATACTTGTTGATTAAGATACATTCAGTGTACACACTAGAGGTTTATATATTTGTAAGGTAAGATTAAGATTCCCTGAGGTATATGCAGATAATCCAGAGCTCACTTGAGGTCTCATGGATTTTCTGAAACCGAAATGCTGAGAAGTGTCCGGCCAAGTGAAAGTGATCAGCCAATTTTTGATTTGAATACTACCATCTCCTTTAAAATATTGCATGTTAATAGTTGTGTTTACACCTAAAATGGAAAAACAGTCAAACAAATTGATTTGCACATCACCATCTCCTTTAAAATAATGCCTGTTAATTCTTGATTTTCACACTACTATGTGACACATTATATGTCCTGATTTCTTATGATTTGGGAACTTCCATGCCATATTTTCTGGCCGAATCTGAATTTCACTGCTTTGCTGGATTTCTTATTTGGAAATTTCAATTATATAGTACTCAATTTCTTGGTCCAACTATTTCTGCTCTCACTGAAAGCTACATTTCAAAATAAAATGCACAAAACATAGAGTCGCTAAATTTTCCAAACGATTATGCCACATTATATAAAAATTCCGTTGTAGTTTGGGTGCCAATAGGTTCTGGCAGCAGCATTGTACACCATTTGCTACTTTGTTGATCCTGATTCCCTTGTACCATAACAAGTCAGTGTTGTGACTTGTGTGCCTCTCTAAAAGAAAGGACAGAAGGCTGTTTGAGGCTGCTTGGACAGGAAATGTTGAATCTTTGCTCAAAGTCATTGAAGATGATCCTTGTATACTAAGCGTTGTTGCATTAGCTGGTGTGGAAACTCCACTTCATATTGCTTGTTTGGCTGGCCACCTTAATTTTGTACGAGAGCTAATGAAATTGAGCCAAGAATTTGCCGGAGAACTGAACCAAGATGGTATTAGTCCCCTGCATATTGCCTCGGCTAAAGGGCACGTGGAGATGGTGAAGGAGCTCATCAAGGTAGACCATAATCTCTGCCTACTCAAGGGAAGAGAAAGAAGAGTTCCCCTTCACTACGCGGCAATCAAAGGAAGAGTTCAAGTCATCAGTGAACTTGTTTCAGCTAATGCAGATTCTATCGCAGACATTACAGCTCGTGGAGAGACTGCTCTTCACCTTGCAGTGAAGAACAACCAATATGAGGACTTAAGAGTGTTGTTGGAACATCTCAAGAAATTCAACAAGGAGGATATCATAAATAATAAGGATGACCAAGGCAACACCATCCTGCACCTAGCGGTCTCAAAAAAACAGTACGAGGCAAGCACCACCCCCTGCATATCTTTTCTTGTTTCCGTGGATAAAACTTGTTTATTCCTTCTCAGTAGCAACATATAAAATTTTTTGTTAGCTGGTGGTTTGCTTGGTGCTTGATGAACATGTTGTTACTAAGGCAGTGATGGAAATGAATCCCTTGAAAGAAAGGGGTCTTACGCCTCTTGATGTTTTACTATTATTTCAAAGTGAAGCCAGTGATAGAGAGACCGAGGAGATCCTTAGGCGAGCTGGAGCTATGACAGCCATAGACCTTCATTCATTGCATGATCAGGCAGCACTTAACCAAATCGGGATGCTGCAGCTAATAATAACCCATCAAATGACCAATCAAGAACTTTACAGCCTCGATCTCCCTCTAAACAATTGCTAGAGTTCTTCAAGTACAATGAGATTAAAGATTCACCTAGTAAAGTGCGCAACACGCTGCTTGTGATAGCTATACTTATTGCTACAGCAACATATCAAGCTGTGCTTAGTCCTCCAGGTGGTGTTTGGCAGGATGATTTTGGCTCTAATAGCAACAATGGCACACATACTACTCCAGCTCACACTGCTGGGAAGGCAGTCATGGGCTCCAAAAGTTGGGCCTGCTATAGTTTGTTCCTGTTTTTCAACTCACTCTGGTTTTATACATCTCTTAACATGATTATTGTTCTCACATTCGGATTCCCTTTGCGATTGGAATTGCTAGTCTCAATCATTGCACTGATAATAACTTATGGTACTTGCATGTCTGCAATTGCTCCCAATGGCGGTATGACGATATTCTTTACTGTTATTTCTGCAGTCATGCCTTGTACAATATCAGTTACAACCAAAGTGGTGAGAAACCTCTTAAGGAGGCCACGAGATGCACTACCATGTACAAATCAAGCAAGTGTTTGAAGTAAACATTTCTTGATGCTTTATATTTAGTTGTTTCATTTCTTGGTTGGCTGGAAATATACGTAACTGTTTTCCTAAAATAAATAAATAAGTACATATTGTCATAGATAAATCAGAAGTACAATTGTAAAAATTATTTGTATCTGAATATACTACTTTGAAACTTTCAGATATTTTTATGCATTTGTTGGGTGATCATGTATGGAATAAAGTAACATTAAGCAGTTGTCTTTGTGTTATAATTTCACACCATAGGCCACAGATGAGCCAATCGGACTGTAAACCAGGTAAACGTATCCTTGACCCTAGTTGATCTTCACAAGAAGTAGCTGCAATCTCTAAATGCAGATTCATTCATTATATATATATATATATATATATTTAAGGTACGTAACATTGAGTTTCTGTAGGTGTCGTAGAGTTCACTTGACGTCTTTGATCTTTTCTGAAACCCCAATGCTGAGCAGTTTCATCCAATTTTATTTTTATAAATTTATGGAGAATACACATTAGAATCTATCTCTATCATTCTATATAAAATACACCTCATTTAGTTTTTACTTAATATTCTTCCTCATGCTCAACACCTATATCTTTGGCTTGCTAATGCCAATGATAAAATATGTGTCCAGATGTCCACTTTCAATATATACACCAAATGTTTTGACTGAATTCTAAATCCATTGTGTTGCTGAATTTCTTATTCAGACACTTCAAAGTTCCAAGTATTAAATTACATGGTCCAACAATTTCTGTTGTCACTGGCAAGCTACCTTTCAACAAAATTGGTATAAATATATAGAATTGACAAATTTTCCACACTTATGGCGCCACGTTTTCTTGATCAATGAGATTAAATTCAATCAATCAGAACTGCATGGAAAAATAAGTATACAAGGAATGATATTAAATTAAACCAGTCAAAGCTACAGAAAATAAGGTACCAATGTTAGGTTTTGGCAGAACCATTCTTCATATTTGCCACATTAGAAGTCAGTGTATTCTCAGGTTGCGAGGCTCCTAAAAAGGATGGACAGAAGACTGTTTGAGGCTGCTTGGACCGGAAAACTCGAGTCCTTGCTCAAGCTGATCGAAGATGATCCTTGTGTGCTTGGTGCTGTTGCATTAGCTGATGGGGAGACTCCGCTACATATTGCTTGTTTGGCAGGCCATCTGAATTTCGTACAAGTGCTAATAAAATTAAGGCAAGAATTTTCCGGAGCTTTGAACCAAGATGGTTTTAGTCCCCTGCATATTGCTTCAGCTAGTGGACATGTAGAGATTGTGAAGGAGCTCCTAAAGGTAGACCATAATCTCTGCCAAATCAAGGGAAGTGAAAGAAGAATTCCCCTGCATTATGCAACAACCAAAGGCAGAGTCCATGTCATGAGAGAGCTGCTTTCAGTTAACTCAGATTCTATTGCAGAAGTGACAGCTCGAGGAGAGACTGCTCTTCACCTTGCAGTGAAGAACAACCAATACGAAGCCTTAAGAGCATTGTTGGAACATCTCAAGCACCTCAACAAGGACTCGGAGGATATCTTAAATAAGAAGGATGACCAAGGCAACACCATCTTGCACCTAGCAGTCTCAAAAAAACTGTATGAGGCAAGTACCGGTCCCTAAAATTCTTTTCTTGTTTAATTTTGTTTGATCATCTTGTTTCATTTTCAAATAGCAACATGAAAAATTCATTTGCAGGTGGTTGACTTGGTGCTCAATGAACATGTTGTTACTAAGGGAGTGATGGAGGTGAATCCCTTGAACAAAAGGGGCCTTACGCCTCTTGATGTTTTACTACTATTTCAAAGTGAAGCCGGTGATAGAGAAATTGAGGAGATCCTTAGGCAAGCTGGAGCTATGACAGCCATAGACCTTCATTCATTGCATGATCAGGCAGTATTTAACCAAAATCAGGATGCTGCAGCTAATAACAGCCCATCAAATGAGCAATCAAGAACTTTGCAGCCGCGATCTCCCTCTAAACAATTGCTAGAATTCTTCAAGTATGATGAGATTAAAGATTCACCTAGTAAAGTGCGCAACACGCTGCTTGTGATAGCTATACTTATCGCGACAGCAACATATCAAGCTGTGCTTAGTCCTCCAGGCGGTGTCTGGCAGGATGACTCTGGCTCTAATAGCTCCAATGGCACAGATAGTACTACTGCAGCTCACACTGCTGGAAAGGCTGTCATGGGCTCCAAAAATTTGATCTCCTATACTTTTTTCCTGTTTTTCAACTCACTCGGATTTTATGCGTCTCTTAATATGATCACTGTTCTCACATTCGGATTCCCTTTGCGATTGGAATTGCTAATCTCAATCATTGCGCTTATGATAACTTACGGTTTTTGCATGTCTGCAATTGCTCCCAACGGCGCTATAACTGTATTCTTTACTGTTATTTCTGCAGTCATGCCTTATTCAATATCAGTTGCTATCAAAGTGGTGAGTAACCACTTAAGGAGGCCACGAAATGCATTACTGTGCACCAACCAAGCCAGTGCTTGAAGTAAAGATTTGTAGTTTTTTTTTTTGGTGACTGGACACACACACACACACATATATATGTAACTGTTTGCTTAAAATAAATAAGTGTGTATTGCATAGATAGAAAAGAAGTATAATTGTAACAATTATTTGTATCTGAATATACTACTTTGAAGCTTTTAGATATTTTTTTATGCATTTGTTGGGTAATCATGTATTGAATAAAGTAACATTGAGCAGTTTTCTTTGTCATTTAATTTTTATTAGGTCTTTAATTACTCCTATATTTTCTCTACAGGAATAGTTTTTTTTTTTTTTTCATCATTCACAATTGACTTTTAATATCTTACAGCCAGTTGCAAAGAATAAAAAAAGAAAAGAAAAAAGAATTAAATAATGTCCACCAAACCAATTAATTAATAATCATCAAAGAGAAGTCAAATCTTTTTCACTAACTTTGTTCAATTTTTAGTTGGTCAAAAGAATTCATGTGCATTAATTCAACTTCCTCAACTTCTTCCTAGTTACCTCATTGACTACAAAAATTAAATTAGACTAATAATTAGAAGACTAATTCCTAACCTCCTCCTTTATATTAGGCCATGTCAAACTCCAAATTAAGGGTAAGCCTTTGTGTCATTGCTTCTCAAAAATGGCTAATCCTCCTGAAAATATAAGGAAAGGTTGGTTCAGATTGAGATATGAGGAGGAGAGGGACACTACAAGCGACACGTACCCGAAATGTGTTACTAATAGTGGCTGCATTGGTTGCAGCTGTGACATTCCAAACCGGGGTCAACCCTCCCGGTGGTGTCTGACAAGATGATCGTGATGGTCATAGAGCAGGACGCGCAATCTACGCGTCTCAGAGCCAAGAATTCTATGTCTTCTTGATTGCCAACACCTTAGCTTTTTCCACCTCCATCCTCATCCTTCCATCTCTCACTTACAGGTTCCCATTCCATTTCGAAATATGGGTTGCCAGTTGCCACTGCTTCCATGTTTACAACTTATGCATCTGCAGTATTCGCCATTGCACCGGACGAATCAGTGAGGTTTCACTATGTTTTGGTTGCAGCATCTGTGCCTTTTATGGTGCAGATGATCAAAAAGATTTGTAGCAAGATATGATGTTTCATTTCTGTCTTATCAAATGTTGGTTTTTTAATGTAACATTCAACTTTGTTATTCAATATAATGAACTTTAGTCTTGCCAGAAACAAAAAAATGTAATGGTTTGTAATCTGTTAGCACATAGCACAAATTATTGATCAATTACTGTATAATGACTATTTTATTTATTTATTTTATTATTATTATTTTTTTATTTTACAAAGAAAATGTGATATTCAATAAGCAAACTATGTGCATGTCTATGTTTTCAAAAACATCATGAGATTGACAGAACAAGCATAAGATAGATATTAATAGACAACAGATTATCACATGCCATGCAGTGTTGTGGTTGGCCAAATTACACTTCATTAAAGTTCACATAGACAACATGTTATTATGATTTGTAACAACATTGGATTACAACTGTATGCAATTAATCTTATGAAAGGCAACAAACTAGTTAACCAGATATTTTGATAAATGAAATTAGATTGATTTTTATATTTAAAAAAAAAAAAAATTATGATAGTGTAATTCAACAATATGATACTGAAGAAAATGTCAAACTTAATCTATAATAGTAACAAATTATTTTTCATCAGTTCAACCCGTTAATCAACCAGCAAAAAGAAAAGAAAGTAATTGTTCTAAAATATTCTACCCAAAACAAGGCATAATATCTCAAACTTGAAATAATAAAATCTAAAAATATGAGTTTTAGAATAACTCTCAAACCATTCATTGATGAGAAGAAAGTAAAATTTAAAAACCTTCAACCATTAAATTTGTATTTGAAAATCTTGCTAATCACTTTTTTACTTTGAATTTCATCTGAGCTTGGTTGCTTGGTGAGGAGTAAAATGACATCCCGCATATGAATGGCTACAATCCGTACAAAGTGTCACTAATCCGACAGTGTAGAGAGTTCTAGAATCCCTCAAGGAACTAGAGAACTATTCTAGAATTATTTACATAAGACAAGTCTAGAGTATCTAATTCGTAGAATAGTTTAAACAACTCCACACTGTTCTAGAGAAACTGTATAGAATTACAAGAAGACATTCGTTTTGATAGGTGAGTCGTTAAATTTGCACCATAAAATACTGAGATGTATGTCACGAACTTGGTGTTTTCCAAGCTTACGAACGATGTCAGACACGTACAAGCGCCCTTGAAGTGCTAAGCCCCCATCTGTTCCCAAATTTTGAGTGCTAAGCCCCTCTCTGTTCCCAAATCAAAATTTAAGGCTTGAAGGTAAATTGGTATCATTTGGAAACAAGATTCTCTCTCATGTTTTAGCTGGCATGTCTGCCATGAATGCACATGTTCCATGTCGCCTCTCAAGAATCAATACAACTGTCAAATAGTATATACTGTCTTCACTACCAAAAATGACCAAAACACGGTATTACCACTTTTTATACACACTTTTTTTAAACATACCTACTCATATTCTATCACCAAGGGGACCATTTCATGCATTCCCAACTCATCCCCTCTTTTTCCACATGGGTTCTCCTTAGAAACATTGCCAACTTTGAACTCTAGTCACACAATCGATAGAAAAAGAGTATGTATAATCTCAACTTGGATAAGACCAAATATATACCAGAATAATACCAATATTTCATTAAATAAAAAATACAAAAAAAAGAAGAAGAAAATAATAATAATAATTAGAATAGACACACTGTAAAGAAAAGACATCCATCTGTACATACTAACTGATTTTAAGTCCAAAATACCCCAAAAATAACCGGAAAAAAAGAAGAAGAAGAAGAAGAAGAGATAATCTATAATTCTAACTAGATTTAGAGCTCCATTGGAGCTTAAGTAGCTAGTTGATGGTGGGAGGCTTCATCTTCATTGAAACTCAATTGGAGCTGTAGTGACCTTTCTATTTTTAAGAAGGATTCTGATAAATTTAGTGGGTTTTGAAGCAAAATCTCTCTTTGGAGGTGAGAAGAGCAAGTGTAAAAAGTGGTGGGGGTCACATTTAGGTGGAAACCCAATCCAAACAAGAAATCCACTTCAAGAAAGTTCATCTCTTTTGTGCTGATTCCTCCAACTTTAGCATAGTAAGCATTGTTGTAGTACCTGAAAATTAAGAAGAACTTTATATGAATTTCATAAACACACACGTATATATATTTTCTTGGTAAAGAGTAGAGATTTGGCAGGAGCACAGACACGCGTACTTGAGGAGTTGGATGCTTTATCAACTAAGCTACTGAATAATACTCCAATTAGATAAACATATATTGAAAATTACCCAAATTGTAATATTACCAAATTAAACTTAAATGCAAAAAAAGAAAAAAAAAAAAAAACCTTCAATGGTTTACTTTACATTACTACGAGGCCCCAAGTGAATTTATGTGTGTCTCTAAATTCTAAGGCTGATGTTGGACTTTCGCTATCAGATATTAATGCAATGCCTTTTGTCATGTTACTATTTAATAATTGAGTAAATTTACAATATCACCCTTCATCATACTCTTTTTGGTGCTGTCTTGATTCTTGAACAAAGCCAGGGTTTCATAGCTGGCTTAACTTGTTTTGTAAGCCAATACAATTTTTGGGGCAAATTTTTTTTTTTTTAAAAAAAAAAGCTCTATTAGACATCTGGACATTCTTACTGGGAAAGTAACTGGGCTGTTCAGAAATTTATTTCCAAGAAAACCAAGCTTCAATTTCATCAAAAACATCAAAACCCATTAAATTAAACTAGAGAATAATTGGAAATTCATCAATTTATTAAAAATAAATGAAAATTCAAAGAAATATGAAAAATCCATTAAAAAAAAAAAAAATCCAACAATCTCAATTCAATTGTGAAAACCGAAACAAATTAAAGCAACCCAAAATAGGAAGTGAAAAAACCCAAAAAAAATTGAATTTTTTTTTTTTTTTTTTGATAATGAAAAGTACTCACATATCATCCATGAATTTTGCAGCAACCATGACACTAGTGATAAGCAAGCGATGAACATTGAAGGAGTTGATGGGCAACAATGGCTGTCTCTGCACGAAGCGATCGAGATAAACGTATGCAACAACGAAGCACGAAGGGCTACAATTGGCATACTTGAAAATTCTCTCGAGATAGGTTTGGATTGATATGGTGGGTCGAGTGAGGCCATGGAAGACAGAGATTTTCTGGGGCTGAAATCGACGGTTGAGATCGTTCGATTCGGACACCCTTTGGAGGAGAGAAGAGAGGAAGGTGATGAGTTTGGGCATGAAATTAGGGCTCTCTAGCTCTGCCATTGTTCAGCAAACTAGTGCTGGTGAAGAGTGTTGAAAATGTAGGTCTTTGGTGTTGTAGAGATATAGAAGATTTTACACCTTGCCTATTATAACAACCAGTAAGGTGGTCGTTATTAGGTAGGTTTTTTTATTTGACGAAAATAGCCTCAGGGATTCCAATTATGGCTGGTTTATCATTCTGAGTTGGCATGAAATGGATTAAAGTTATGTTTCGGCAACAATGCTCTTTGTTTGGTAAGAAGGACGAAAGACAGGAAAGAAGAAATAAGATCATAAATTTTTATCCTACAAATATGGGAAGCTAAAGAAAAAAAGGGTAAGGCTAAATTACAAAACTTTTCTTATAATTAATGCACTATTTTCTCTTCTATTCTCTTTTCTCTTAACAAACAAAATAAGATATTCTCATTATCTTCTCTTCCATCCAACCAAACAAAAGTAAGGAGGGATACAATTTCTTTCCTCTTATTTATCTCTTCTTCTCTCCCTTTCATTCAATTTTCTTCCTTCTTACCAAACAGAGCATTATAAAATTATTGTGTTGTGACTTGAAGGTTAATGGGTTTACAATCAGATACAATTTCTTCATGTCGAGATAAAGTTGCCTACATATAACCCTTTCGAAACTCCACATCAATAATTTAAATTCCTCTCAATTCTAATTTTAAGACGTTCATTCAGTGTTATCAAATATAACAAGTTTGCTCTCATATGCAACATAAGTTTCTTTTGATATTGGATTCAAATCAAAAACTATTTGATTGGGCTTTAATTACATTCTAAATCTGAAATTTAAAATGAATTCAATATGGATTGGGATAAGGGGTGATCTAAACCAAATTGAGCTCTATTATTTACATTATATATATATATATATATATTTAATTTATTCATGAAATATGTCTTATGGCTATTGATTATGTATGTCTAAAAAATTGAGTTGAATTTGGATCCTAATAAGGAAGCTAGCGTTAAAATACGAATCCGGATTCTGATTTACATGTATATTATGTTCGCATGTACACTTATATCTTACCATTCATGGCGCTCTGAGTCAAAACTTTGGGGGCTTTGAGTTGGATTTTGATTGCCCAATACAAACTTGACTTGTATAAGAGGGACAGATTTTGATTAATTTGGGTTAATGTTCCAATATTATGCATAGAGTTGTTATACATAATACAATATAATACAATAAAATATGAGTATATCTCATCGTGATATCATCAATTATAATGACACCATGATTATATTATTTTCACTCATCTAAAATAGTGGAATTTGTTGGAATTAATTCAAGAGTGAGAGGAGTTATTATCTTCCTTATGCATTAACTACACAAATTTTTTGTTTTTATTGTGTTTATACCCAACTATTTTTTATATTTTGATATATATATATATATATATATATATATATATATATAATTTTATTATTACCCCACTGAAATTACTAAAATATTATATTATTGCCCCCTCACATAATCTGTAATACCCCTAATTTCAAAAAGATAGTAATGGGATTTACTTTATTATTTCAATTGCGTTTTTAATTGCTGAAGTGTTTATGTGTTAAATTAATTGATTTATTTGTTATTTTAATTTACTGTTGTTTTGTTTAATTGAATATTTGATTAATTGGTTTATTAGTTATAGTTAATTTATTTGATTATTATTTTTTTAATTAGTTATTTTAAATATTGATTATGGTATGCGTTTATTTAATTAAATTTAGTTAGTTTTCACGTGATTGTTATATAGTTCCATTAGGTATACACAGTTCATAAGTAGCCGTCATTGATTAACCTAGATTTTGCTATGGGCCGAGTAATCCGATTAGGGTTTAATTAAGCCTAGGGTTAGTGTGGCCTATAAATACTCACCTAGGATGTCTCCCTAGGGTTTTAGAAGAAGATTACAACATAGTAAAGCTGTGTGGAGTTTTAGAGTCGGCTGGGAAGAAAACAGAGAACAAACAAAGAATTCACCGGAGATTTGAGACGGACGTCGGTGTAAGGCAAGTTCTATCCTTACTCTCTCCCTTAGGTTTCGTGTTCTTTACATTTCTAAATAATTCTAAGATTGATTTAATCAATAAAAAACATTATCTGTTTATGCTAAAAAAATTAGATTATCACAGTATGTTTGCTTGCTTGCTAAACCTGTTAAACCGTGTTACTTGCTTGCTTATTTCTCTGTTTAAACCTATGTATGGAATGTGTTAATGACTTAAACATGGACTGGGAACCTACTGGGGTTGATTTACAACTTTTGGAAACCATAGTATAGGGCAGAGAAGCTGCAGAAGTCGTCTGAAGAAGAGGGAAGACAAAGAGACGGGGCAGAGAGGGAGAGAGCCGGCTCTCCCTTGGAGAGAGCCGGCTCCTTTGTGTTTAGAGGCGGCTTCCAAATGTGGGAGCCGGCTCCAAGTCCTAAAGGAGGCGGCTCCACTTTTGGGAGACGTCTCCTTGATACAATTTTTATTTTTTTTTTCGTTTTCAGTCAGTTTTACTTGCAGGGGTTGGTTTTCTGTGTTTCCAATTGGGTTTAAGACTGTGTGTGAGGTGTATGGATGATGCTTAGAGACAATTCTAAGGCTTTAGAAGGCATGTTAATAATCTAATTATGGTTGCCACTTGAACAGTATACATTGTAAACAAAATAACACACTGTGGTTGGAATTGGAAGAATTAATTTGGTTTAATTCTCTAGGTTTTGTAGTCTTCTGAGACAGATAATTTAATTAAAACCTGTTTTATCATATATCATGATTATGTGGCTGAATTACATCTATTTTGGATGAATTGGTGTTAAGTGACTTTAGGATTTATACAAACTTAGTACTACATTGGGTTTTGTGAAAACACTACAGATCAAGCATGTCTATGTGTATACTGTAATTCTGTGTTGATGTTTTCATTGTCACTGCTAGTTTCAATTATTGGAGGCATGGATCTTGTTGATGTTTACCTTAATTATCTATAATATCAACTGCCGGAGGTTGAATGCTATTAAGATTTAAACTTGGCATGATACCGGATTTGATGGAACAACCAAAACTGAGTAGGTTTATGTATATACTGTGACTACGTTAATTGATGCTTACATTATAATTGTTAGTATCAGTAATGGATATAAAGTTGAACATGATTATGTATATAGTTGACTGTGTTCATAGATGCTTACGCTATGCTTTTAGTATTTGTGATGGAGATATAGATTCAGTTGAAGTCTACTTTAATTGTTGGTATTATCAACTGTTGGATGATTGGATAGTATACACCGGTATGGGACGGTGGTATACTAGGGACGGTTTGGTTTCAAAATACCAAAACCTACCTACTCTGGATTAAGAATTGGATTAACTAAGAGTTAAGTCCTATTGATTTTAGTGTTATGGCAACGACTAATTGAGCGGCACTACTAGGATACATGATGGATTTTAAATATATTGTTATGGTACCTCGATATGAGCTTGAGTCTCAGGATCGACGGTTAGGGAGCGTATATGCATTGGGATGCATAGCTGGATACGATGGTTAGAGGTGTACCCTGTTTAGGTTTAGGTACACATGCCCACCTTGTGTGCGTTTTAGCATGTTACCTCTATTCAGGTTGAGACCGGCCTGTAGTCCAATGAGAGTCCTTTAGTGTGACTATATATATATATTTACCGACTATTAGCTATTGTGGAATTGTTTATGATGTACATGCGTATCGGGCCTCTGTTTGGATTATAAAAGTATAGAACTTGCATGTGGGCCTGACCCACTTCTATTTTTCAGGTATACGACAGTTCCAGACTTAGACGTGTTCGTGCTGAGCAGAGGTTTCTGCTCACTCTACCGAAGATGTATGATTTCTCTCCATAGCTTATCAGGATGTTCTTTCAGTTGTTTTTAATTCAGTTTGGATTTTTATTAGGGGTCCACTAGAGATGGATTCCCGAGTTGTTAAACTTATGAAGTTTGGACTATCGGATTCTAACAAATATATTATTCGAATTTTAAATATTTAAATTATTAAGGATTATCTTTTAGTTTTCTTTTAGCTCTTAAATTTTATTTTTAAATTCAATTTGAATTGTGTGTTCGCATTACATATTAATTGTATGATATTTCCCTCGAGTTTGGGCCTGAGCCTGATCAACATGTGTCTCGAATCCAAGGAGTATCACATAATTGGTCCCTAATTTCTACTTACCTAAAATAACCGAATTAGTTCAAAAATAGGACTTATCATTTACGGTATTTACCTTATACAAAACAGTACAAATTGTTATTGCAGTGTTAGCATTGTTCGTCAAAAAAAGAAAAAAAGAAAAAAAATAAAAAAAAAAGGAATAAAAGAGAAACTATAGCTTTGTTGTTAATGAAATGACAGACAATGGACAGTTGTGATAGGAATTAGCATGCCTAATTCACATGTGATTACATGTGAATTAATGGTGGGGATTATAAATTTTGGGGCCCACTTGAGGGATGTTGCATGTGTTAGTGGATTTCACACGCAATTGGGTGACATAATAAGGATTTGTTTCGCTCCAACATAGCACCATTACCGCATGCTGCTACTGTTCCTTCCACCCACCCACTAAACAAAGGTGATTCCAAGTTTGGAACACACACATGCACACACACTCTATATATATTATAAATCAGACTGTCGGTTTAATCTTCAACCTCATTTATATAAGGTCTATGATTCTATCCGTTTTTATTTTTTATTTTTAACTAGAAAAGCTGACACACAAACACACATATTTAAGCTGCGTAATTAAAGTGGATGTCTTTTTAAATAAGGAGCCAACTAATACAGAATTATTGGTGACAATGTGGCATAGTATGAATCAAAATTCTCTCCAGTACTTGCCTTTCCACAGAGCAGATTTTACTATATTTATTTGAAATTTTATTATTAAAGTGATGAAATTTAAAAACGTATAAGTGGAAAATGTGACACTATTTGCACGGTTGGATCTGTACCGTGGGATACCTTGTACATGAGAGAATTTAGGTTGTTATTTGAAGAATTAAGGTTATAAAGGACCAATGAAAAAAGAGCTTA